AACCGAAACTTCAACAAATATGAGATAAAAATTAGATAATTTTTTTAAAACACTAACAAAAATAAAAAATTAAAATTTATGAAAATAACTCATGGATTTTAATTTTTCTTATGAAATTTTATCACCCTGTATATCGGTAACGAAGCTTCAGGACTACAGTTTATTTGACAAATTTTTTTCAATGTAGAATATGTGGTTGCAATTTTTCGCAATATTAAGAAAACATCCTGTATAATCTTGTATAGGGATTTTGGTCATGGTTATTGGAGGTGAATAGGGAAATTTTTTTCAGCTCCACATCAGAGATCTAATCGATACTTTGGAAATTAATAGACTAAACAATTACCTTTAATTGAGGGTTACGACTCGACCTCGTGGTTGGCGATGGTTTACTCAATGATCCCCGAAGGATGGTTTTACGTGATAAAAAAAACGATACGAGAGGGTACAACCCCGAAGACGATCACGTATAACAAGAATTCTTAAATCCCGAATTAACGGATGACTTTCGATATAGTGTTGTTAATTGCTTAGACACAATTGTTGTTTACAACGCGTTTGATTGTACTTTGCATTCTAATATTTTACCAGAAACTATTTTTATTTTTACGATATTTCAAATACGAGTTTAAAATTAAGGCAATACCTCCGCTGCCGTCAACGGCGCCCTACCAGCTGTCGGCAACGGTGCCTGTACTACCTGCCAGCAAAGAATTTTTAGGTTTTGTTCCTTATTTCACTTTGTTTTATTTGAATTTTACTGGTATTTTCGCAGTTTAAAATAGTTTTTTTTTAACAATACCTACCAATGGTACATAGTTTTTAAAGAACTAACCCCAGAGATTATCAGCAACTAAAACCCTCTATATTTTTGGATTTAATTATAGTTTCTGCTAGTATAACTTGAATAAACATTTACGAAATGTAAATTAAATTATTTTTTCTTCTTCTGATCTATGCTATCATCTCTTAAAATTTATACCTATTAAATTTACCCAAGTGTACAGCAGGTGCTGCATTTTGGATGTCCGAATAGGGAATCTCCGAAATAAGATGTTTAGCCAAAAACGAGTGATACATTCAGGGGCTCATTTTTGAGAAAATAATATTGGTTAAAACTGCATCCCGCTATCGTCTTTTGTTTCCGACTTGCAGACAAAAGTTAACATTTTGGCGAAATCTAAAAAAAATTATATCTTCGTTATTATAGAAGACACAGATTTGAAATAAAGACATTATACAGGCACTTTTTAATGTAGTTAACAATTTTTTTCATTTGTTTATTTAGCCGTAATAAAATACGGCTTATATGAGAATCATAGATGGCTATGTCATTTTTAAAAAGCTTGTTTTTTTCTTATCTAAAAATATATATTTGTAACAAATTATTATAATACATTTTTAGCAAAAAATTATCTTTGATTTTTGTTCGCAGTTGGCCATGAAAAAGTGTTGCATCTTAAACTAAAAGGATTTAAACTATATTATTCAACCAGTGTCACTAATGAAAGAGTTTTCTAAGTAATAAGTAATGAAAAAAATGCAAAATAAATCGTAAATCAATTTATTGGCGACTAATAACATTTCTTTGTTTTTAAACAAGCTAACATTACCATTGTAACTTCTAGTGATACATAGAGTGTTGTAAAAAAAGCCGCTTTAATTCTTCAATAAAATACATTTTGTATGACACAAAAATGACGATATGGCTATTCAAATATCCAAATTCCGTCTATGTGGAACGTTTTCCTACCTCCATTAGATTATCAATAGTAGATTATGTTATTAGGAGTAAAAGTGATTGTTTATGTGGCGAAGCTGAACGTTCATTTTGCCGAACGGAGTGAGGCAAATGGATTCAGCTGAGCCACATAAACTCACTTTTACTCCAAATAACATATACTATTTTATCTGCAAACGATTCAGATAGAACGAAAAGAGCAACACACCAATAATCAAGTAAATCACCTCAATAATCAGGACGCTTTGCAATAAAATCATAACAAACGTCACGCGTCAGTTTCGGAATTTGTGTTGAGATTTCACAAGTGTGGATTGATTTAACTGGTGAATAACTGGTATAGTTTATAGTGCAAAATGTCGAATGCTGATAATATACCTTGTACCTCTCTAGAAAATGCTGAAAAAGCGAAAGGGACAAGAAAGAGACAACAGTGGTAAATGTCAAAGTAAGTGTCAAGTAAAAGTGAAAACGCCTAGGCGTAAAAACAGTGTTTTTACTCCATGTCTGAAAAGTAAAACTTTTACCTGTGTCATTTAGTCATAAAAGTGGTCACTTATGTGACGTTTGCAGATAAAAAATGTTTTTTCTAATTGTGTTGACTGTTTACACATTTGTTTTCCCTATTTTTAGATTTTTAAAAAATATGTAATAATTTTGTTCTCAGGCGCTCGCATATTTGTTCAATAGTTTTAACATATCGTATTTTTTTATTTTTATAATTGTATCATCTATTTTACAGTTCACAAAACTCTTATTGATTATTATTTACACATTTGGTGTGAAATAGTTTTTCCATGGCCAACTATTATCAAACAAGATATGTATTTCACTTTTTAAGTATAATTATAAAAAATATTCTGTTACAAATGTATATTTTTTAGATCAGAAAAAAATAAGCTTTTCAAAATTGCCATAGCCGCCTATGATTTCCATTAAAAAATATACAAGTTTATGTTATTACGGCTAAACCAATAATTGAAAGAAAATCTTAACTACATTATTAAATTTCTCATAAAAAAGTGGCTGTATAATGTCTTTATTTCAAATCCGTATCTTCTATAATAACGAAGATATAATTTTTTTTAGATTTCGCCAAAATGTTAACTTTTGTCTGCAAGTCGGAAACAAAAGACGATAGCGGGATGCAGTTTTAACCAATATTATTTTGTCAAAAATGAGCCCCAGAATGTATCACTCGTTTTTGGCTAATCATCTTAGTTTCGGAGATTCCCTATTCGGTCATCCAAAATGCAGCACCCTGTACATATTGCTCTAAGTTTTCTGCAATAAAATTGAGTAGTTTGTCAGTGAAGCAAATTGTTTGCTATTAGAAAAGAACGTTTCAGGTAACTTGATCGTATTATCAAAATATTTAAATAAAAATATGCATATTTAACCACAGTCGCTTCAATTTCTGTCTGCATAGGTAGGTATATCATATTTTCTACGAGTGTTACAGAAACTGCATTTTTCAGGAGGCTGTATTGCAAAATTTTATAGATATACATTTAAATTTCTGTCCTATACTTATACATACAGGGACATTTTTTATTCGTATACATAGCCCTATGTATACAGTTAACAAATCCGGGTCAATTTCATAGTGTAGGCGTCCAATATTTCAAGCTTTTAGAGGATACTAGATATTAAAAAAATTAAAACTAAAATTTTGTGTCAATGCAGGCTGTTCTTAGCCCGGACCCTCCTTAAACTATTGTCCTCTTGATACCACACAAACATTTCAATTTTTTCTTCTTTGATGTTGTGCATGGTATCACAAATGGTATTAACTTTTTAAAGGTGAGATTTAAGTTTCAAGACTGACAGTTGACAAACTTGACACAAAATTTTAGTTTTGAATATTTTAATATCTCTCTAAAAGCTTAAAATGTTGGTCGCCTATCTTATGATATTGACATGGTTTTTTTAACTGTATACATAGGGCTATGTATACTAATAAAAAAATGCCCCTGTATATATTTTACATTTTCTTTTCTCCAGCAATTTACTTTTTTACTATAACTATTTTTACCTATTCTTCTATGTCTAAGCTTTTTAGTCTATGTATTTTGTGTTCTGGAGGTTCAGCCCTTCCATCTTGCTTTTTCACTCTTTTTCTACTTTTTTTGACTATAAATTATTTAGCACTTTATAAAAACTATAGCGTGTATTAGAACTCGCGCCCCAGAGAAAAATTCCAAGTAAGAGAAAATACCAGGAACATAGAAGAAATGATAAAAAAAATTGTTTGTCAAAAACTTTTGACATTTTTGCCATTTGACATTTTTATGTCTATTTTGTGTTATTCCATAATTATTTCGTAAGGGTACAAAAAATTTTCAAATAAAAACCACAAATAACATTAAACAGAGTTACAATTTAGGATACAGCTCCCTTGTTTCCTCTTCTAATAGCCTGTAGCAGAAACAAACGCAAAATAATTTTTTCAACATGAATAATTAGAGTTAAAGTGCAAAATTTAAACTCCCATAATTTCGTAATTTTTAGTTAATTTTTTTTTTAATATTTTTTCTATGTTCCTGGCATCTTATCTTACCTTTTTGTCTGGGCGCGAGTTCTAAAGCACTCTGTATAATTTTTGTTGATAATGTAATAGTTTTGAAATTGACGATACAAAGTTTAGATTTTTTTTATTTTCTGAACGGCCACTATAACAAAGCTATAATTTGACGTGGACTGTTTTTCTCAACAAAACAAAGAAACCCAAAAAAAATATTGAAAAACTATTTTTTAGACAGTACGATCCACTCAACATATTTTTTGACGTTCAATAAATTTTTATAGTGATGTTTAGAACTTAATCCAATTATTATAATGTCTGACTGGGACTAATAAGATCGGACAAAAACAGGGACTGCACAATAAGTAGGTATATTTGTTTATAAATATGTTTACAAATTTCTTAATCATATTAAATCTTAATTCAAAATCAATAAAATAATATAATGTCCTTTTTAATTCGAAACCTCACTTGTACAAAATAACGACCATTTTTTTCAATGTCTTATTGTTTTGAAAATTTTTTGCCCAAACATTTCAGATTTTCAGAGTCATTCAGTATATTATTTATCACTCTATAAGCGTTATTTTACAGTATAATTTGTAATTTTCTAATATTACAATGAAATAATTTAAAACACAATGAATAAATTTAAAATTTACGTCTTGTATGTATTTTGTGTTTTTTTTCTGACTAATAATTACAATTAATTAAGAGTCTAATTTGTTTACTTACCTTGTGGGCTTGCAGCCTCAAATGTGGTCTCTTTCCTCGTTGTAAACACCATCCATGTAAAAAGTGACGTCAGTGTACTCTTTATTTGATGATGGCATTATTTCCACGTCCACCTACTTTCTTGCATTCTTATAACAAAAAACGTCCCACTTAATCCAAAGTTTTCACTTTTCACATCAATAAAAGCGGCTCTTGTCAAAACAATGCAATCAAATCGCGAGCAATTAATAAAAAACACCGCGGCGAGTTTTGACCTCGGTTCAAGTTCACATTTACCAAGAATGGCTTGCACATGATTTAGACGTGCCCACGTAGAATGTCAATATGGATCAAGTACAGTAAAACCTTGTTTGAAACACCCGCAATGACTACCTGTGACAGTCCAAGTGAAATCACTCTACGACTTTTCTCGGTGAAAGTCGGCGGTTTTAGTTTAAAATGTAAAGCGAAGAGAGGAATTTCAGGGACATGTGGGAGTTGGGCAACGCACCCGGATGACGGAAAAACAACGAATTTTTTTTTCAATAATTTTATTCATAAATAGGAAAATTGAGCTAACACACAACTAGATTATGTACAAATTGCACTAAACATCACAAGTTATATTTTCTAGCCGAAATTCTCGAAATGGTGGATGAAGTAGGGCAATTTCCGGCCTTTGTTGACGTCATCGCAAGCCGACATGACACTCTTAGTCAGGGGCCGCGGGCCGCAACTGAAAACCCCGATTTTGCTCACCTAAAATAAATATTCAGAAAAAAAAATTAATCGGGATAAAACTCACATAGCTGTGCCTCTTTTGAACGAATTTTAGAAACGAAGTCATATCCGGTCTTCCAAAATGATTAACGGCTTTCAATCCGGTAAAAATCGAGGTTTTCGAAAGTCGTTGGAAGTGATTTTCGCAAATGTACTGAAATTGCGGCTCAAAAACGAGTTTCTCTAGTGCAAAAACCGACTTACCAACATTGTTGTTCTCAAATCAAACTTATGGAAGAATTGCGTAATAAAAATGTGAATCTCTAAGACATTGGTGACATCTTTTTTCTCAACATCGCGCAATACGTCAATGAACCATTCAAAGTGTTTGTGCGAGGGACAAATCCATAAAAAGTAAACCTGAAATTTGGCGGTTATTCGAGTCAAAAGTGAGCAAAAATGTACTTTTTTGCACGCGACTCCCGAGTACCGGTTTGTCGAAGTGCCGAAAACTAAATCATTTAAGATGGAGGCGTAGGGGGTTACCCCGATTCCTCCTCCGACCATGACGGCAACCTCAAATTTGTACCAGTCTTGGTTGCCTCCACCGAACGGTCCTTCGAGGAGGATTTTCGGCTGGTCTTCCGGGTTGTAATTTGAGGGGTCGAAGTAATTTCGTAATTTCCACGTCCAAGGACCTAGAAAAAATGTTTATGGTTAAATATTTCAATAATAAAATGAAGGGACCTTTATTTAAGAGTTTAATGGGGTAATAAAATTTTCATTTTAGGCTGAATTTTCAACGTCTATTTTCTAGTCTTTATTCAGCAAATTCAAATTTTTCGGCAATATTTTGATAAGTACGCCGTTTTGCTCATGACTACAGAATATAGAAGTATTCAGTAGCACCAATTTTGGGCTTTATTACTGGTTTTAGATGTCATGTTTAAATTCTGTATCTTAAAAACTGTCATTTTCCAAGTTAGAATTTTGTATTCTAATATTTAAATTTTTATTCTAATTGTGTGTTATGTGCTCTATAAGTATCAATCTATGTTAAGTTGTGTGTAAATTCTGTTTTATTTATTTTTAAAATTAAATTTATCTATCTAGTAATAAATTTTGAGATTTCCATAATTTTCCATGTTTTTGGCTACAGGCTATTAGAAGAGGAAACAAAGAAGCTGTATCCTAAATTATAACTTTGTTTAATGTTATTTGTGGTTTTTATTGGCAAAATTTTTGTATCATTATTCTTAAATAGTCATAAAAAATGTTAAATATCAAAAAAAAATTCAAAATTTTTTGACAGAATTTTTTAAACATTTTTTTATGTTCCTGGTACCTTAGCTTACTTAAAATTTTTCTCTAGGGCGGAAGTTCTGACACCCTGTATGCAGCAAAAAAATTGAAATTTTGTAATGTCAATTATTTTTCAGATTTAACTTAGTATTCTGTAATATTGATATTCTATAAATCCAAGTTTCCATTTTCCCAAGACTTTCCGTACCTACCTCAAAAACTATAAATAATATTCTGTACAACATTCATTACAGGATCTTTATTTTGTAAAACTAAAGCCCGATTTCTACAGTTTGTGTCCTGAATTCTGAAATAATTCTATACTTTCAGATTTCTTATTATCTAAATTCATTTACTATATCTGAATTTTATTTTTTTGTAGTAAATACCAGCCTGTATTTTGTATCTATACCCCGGAACTTTTTTTGTTCATAAAATTCTCTCACATAGTAATATGTAAAGGTAATTTTCTATAGAAAAAGGTAATTTTCTATTGAATTTGTTTTCTCTAGATTCTCTCAACTCTAATCATTTTGGGAGTATATTTTAGTAGTTAATGCTGTAATTAACATTCCGTAAGAAAAAAAACTGTTTTTGTTTTTGTATTTTGTAGAACATCTCATGCAGCTCTCGTCTTGTAGTATTTTATTTTTATCTTGTCTAATCTATGTTTGGCAGACTGTAATCTGTAAAATGAAATTTTTGTGTTCTGTAATGTTATTATTTGTATATTACTTATTTTATCTGCAAACGTCACAAAAGTGACCACTTTTATGACTAAATGATACAGGTAAAAGTTTTACTTTTCAGACATGGAGTAAAAACACTGTTTTTACGCCTAGGCGTTTTCACTTTTACTTGACACTTACTTTGACATTTACCACTGTTGTCTCTTTCTTGTCCCTTTCGCTTTTTCAGTATTTTCTGGAGAGGTACAAGGTAGATTATCAGCATTCGACATTTTGCACTATAAACTACACCAGTTATTCACCAGTTAAATCAATCAACACTTTCGAAATCTCAACACAAATTCCGAAACTGACGCATGATGTTTGTTATGATTTTATTGCAAAGCGTCCTGATTATTGAGGTGATTTACTTGATTATTGGTGTGTTGCTCTTTTCTCTCCATCTGAATCGTTTGCAGATAAAATAGTATATGTTATTTGGAGTAAAAGTGAGTTTATGTGGCTCAGCTGAATCCATTTGCCTCACTCCGTTCGGCAAAATGAACGTTCAGCTTCGCCACATAAACAATCACTTTTACTCCTAATAACATAATCTACTATTAGATTTTCCATTGTTGCTTTTACAGACTTACCCATTCGATTGTCTACAACGTCAAATCTGAGCTCTGTATTCCTCTTTTTGTTATGATAATTTCAACATTTAGCATTCTGCATAGGTACTAACCCATAAATTTGTATATCCTACAAATTACATTCTTATTCCTTATTCTGTAGATTTTATACTTTGTCGATTCAGTTTTTGTTTCTTGATACTTTTTCTACTAGATTGTGCTTGTTTTTCTTTCGAGGAATTAAAGTAGCCTTATAAGAAACGCTGGTATTTTGTAATACATGATTTTGCCAACAGTATAAAAATAATTGCACTACTCAAATATTAAAATGTTCTTATTATAAAATAAAATCTTTAAATCCTTAAAAAACCCCTTCTCGTAAACCACAAAAGCTAAATAATCTTAGTAAGATTTTCAAACATAATAGTTATTTACATCATACGTGCGGTAGGTATAATTTTACAGCGTGAAGTTTTAATATTGAAGCTCGAAGCGAAGCTAAGCACAAATAATGTACAAAACTTTTTGGCCGAAGACCGTTTTTTGATTAATTTAAATTTCGATTTGCCAACACATGACGGATCTATGCGTTTATTATTTTTATCACAAGATTGCGTTGATTAGAATCCATCCGAAAACAAAATTGTGTTTATTTTTGAATATTGCCGTATCTTCTTTGGACGTTAATGAACTTCATTTACCATAAAGATTTTTTTTATTCTAGTAGTCCTTGCAAGCCTAATTTTTTTTGTTATTTTATAGCATTGTGTGCGCTAAACTGAACAAATGCTTTGTAAAAATCATATACCGAAGCAGCCAAAAAAATGTGTAAACATGTCAGTTACAGTTGTCGAAGCTAAAAAAATATTTTTCCTTCCATAGGGGATAAAGTGACGCTTTATGCCCTCGTCTTTGACTTATAATCTGGTACTTATCTATTCTCTTAAAAATAAAATAAAATACCGATTTTTACAGTTATCGAGACTAAAAATGTTCTTTACTTACCTTGAGCTTTAATATGACACGACAAAAAGTTTTCATGAGGAGCTGAAGTCAGTGTAAACGAGTGAAATTCGTGACTTTTAAAGGCAGTACAAGCTAGACGGACCCATTGTCCAGACAAATATTTCAAATTCGGTGGTCTGTAAAACTTTATTTTTATCACATCGGATGGTAACAACTCGGTTTCAATCACATCTAAGGGAATGTATTTGGTGCGTAGACTCACGACCTAGAAATTTTTATAATATTTTCATCAATTTTTTCAATAATTATGGCATTACTTTATCTAGAATGTAAATGGTCCCAGGGCCGATAAAGAACAACCAAAATCTGGGGGCCCCAGTCAGCCTGGCGAGGCCATGAATAAGACACAAAATGTACAAGATTATGTAAAGATTATGTGTGGCCCAAAAAAAGTTGTAGGCTTTTTTCCTTATTGTTGGATGAGCGAATACTATAATTATGCTCATTATCACAAACAACAAGACTCCTGTAAGACCTGAAAAGAAATGTCTTGGGTGAAAAATTACTTAAACTTGTCAAATCACCTGTTATTGTTTGGAACAACCAAAATGTGATTCCTGGTTTATAATCCGAGGGAAATCTCACCTCGTTGGTGAGACATCTGAGATTTTCGATCGGTTGAGTTGAGACGTGGTAAAAGTTAACAATGTGGCCAACAGTGTGTAACAGTGAAAAAAACAGAGCAGTGCAAGCGGCGATTTTATGAAATTGAATATGAGTGTCTAAAGGAATGTATTGTTGGATGGAGAATTCTTTCAGTTTTGTAAGAAGGTTCCGGGACATTGTTAGCAACAAAATGCTGTAACAGAAGGATAATGAAGCGGCGGAGCCGCGAGTTATCGCAATTCCAACACCCATTATGTGGCGCAAGTCAGTGTGTTCGGCCATAAATGAATAGTCTGAAATTGTCGCAATTAGGAGAAAATTGTTGCTACAAAAAACACTTACGTATGAAGCGTTCGACGAACAGAGCGATTGTTATCACGTAAAAAATAAATAAATAGAATATGTTTTGACGGTTTTCTTCCAAAAATGTCGTGAGGGAATTCCATTTTAGTTCGAGGTAATTTTTTTCAGAGTCGAGGGTCGGCTCAATGTGAAAACTAGTCATTCTGGAAAAAATTATAATTTTATTCAAAACATTTTAATAGTTTGACAAAATCTAATTAGTAATAACTGGAAAAATTGTGAGTAATTGTGGTAACCTTATTTTTTCACTACATTTTCCTTTGAAAATTGAAAATGTCATTTATGTGAATCTTCTGTGGAAACATTTTCTAACTTTCAAAAGTCTTTTTTTTTTACTTGTAACTTGTTTTTTCTGAATAAATTGTTTCTGAAGGCATGGTATCAGGATTCCGAATCCTATATTTGGTACATACATACATTCACTCAGTGTCTCCCTATATGGACTTCTCTTCTAATCTATTTTCTAATTTTACAATCATTTTTAGAAATTCTGTATTCAGTAAAGCCTGCTTTTTAAATTATGATTTTTATACTGTATAATTCCACAATTGGAGATTTCTATAATGTTTTCGCTAAATTCTGTATTTTTAAAGCGAAACTTTTTTCGCATCGCCTCAAAATTTTTCGTCCATCTATCGCATGTCGCATTACATCCGGCCGGTGAGTAGGGATAAAGTGAAAGCCACTTGATAGAGCAGCCAAGGCCAATGTGGCGACACCCATGGCTCGCATCAGCTGACCGTGTAGCATTTATATTCTTACTCATTCGTGCAAGTGTTCCACGATATTTGTGTTTTGATCAGTGTAATGTATTCGAAAAAAAAAGTTTCACTTGCATCGTGGTTCTTTAAACCATCAGTTTTTTATTTTGCAATCATTTCTGTAAATTTTATATTCTGTAAAGTCTGCAATTTGAATTAAATTTTTCTTATTGAGTAATTTTTGTTTTATTATTTCTGTAAGGCCCGATTTTTAAATTCTATTTTTCATACTGTGTACATATTACTACTATACTTGATTTGTTTCTATTTTTTGAATTCTGTATTTATTTATTTTGTTGCAATGTAACACTTTACTGACTGTAATCAGTTTTGAACTCTACTTTCAATATTGTTTAAATCTAAATTCCATGTCTTTTGAAAATCTTAAATTTTTTCTTTTCTAAATTCTTAATACCAAATCTGTAGTTTTACGTTTTGACCATCTGTAAATTTGAATTCTGAATTTCGTTAACTTCTGTAGATCTTTATTTATTTTACAGTTTCAACTTTCTGCATTTATATTCATTTTTTATCCTGTAATAGTATTAATAGTACTTTTTATCTTAACAATTATATTCTGAGAACCTTCTTCTCATTTTTTGTATTCTACCTATATTCTTCTTTTTAGGTAGGTATTATTTTTATCACTTTTTAGTAATGTGCTTTGAAATCTTACATATTATTTTTTTATAAATTGTATATTTTATAAGCTGAATTTCATAAGTTTTTAACCTTTTTTTCTATTATTTAGGTATACAGGGTTAATCATAAATATGAAGCAATATTTAAACCTCAAAAATGACCCATAAAATGATGTTAATTTAAATAATAACTCGTGTCCTATCTCTACTGATAAGAATTTTACAGCCCTCGGAATGTGGGTATGGAAAATTGTTTTTTTTTGTAATAACTTTGGAACTATTTGACCAAATATTATAAAATTTGGAACATTTCTTTGTCACAACATACCCTTTGAACTGGTAATTACGAAAACCGGATACATATGTTGCAGTTCACATTTTCTGTGTTTTTCCATTTTTTTGCTCTCTTAACACCAATTTTTTATTGCCCAAATAGATAGAGTAATCAATTTCAAATAAAAATCGCATAACCTTTAATACCCCTAAAATGGACCGTTTCAAAGATATTTTAATTTACTCTGAGGATTGCACAACGCTGAAATAAAAAAATTGGGATTTTGAATAAGTGGTATCAACGGCAACCAATAACCATGGTCACAAAAATCCCTACCAGGCATCTGTTAACTTTGACGATAAATTTTTGTGAATTTTTTATAAATTAAATGCTACGAGATCGATTTGGATTTATTGTAGATTACGTTTGGAGTCTGAAGTAAACTCTTTTATTAAATATTTTCAATTAATCGCCTAAGAATCGTCCAATGTCAAAGTTGACAAATGCCTGACAGCGATTTGTGGGACCATGGTCATTTGTTGCCGTGGATATCATTTATTCAAAATCCATATTTTTTGATTTCAGCGTTGTGCAGTCCTCAGTTTAAATTAAAATATCTTTGAAACGGTCCATTTTAGGGGTATTAAAGGTTATGCGATTTTTATTCGAAATTGATTACCTACTCTATCTATTTGGGCAATAAAAAATTGGTGTTAAGAGAGCAAAAAAATGGAAAAACACAGAAAATGTGACCTTCAACTGCTGGAACCGGAAATTGAGTGGATGTATCCGGTTTTCGTGATTACCAGTTCAAAAGGTATGTTATTACAAGGAAATGTTTCAAATTTTATAATATTTGGTCAAATAGTTCCAATGTTATTACAAGAAAATCAATTTTCCATACCCACATTCCGAGGGCTATCAGTAGAGATAGGACACGAGTTATTATTTAAATCATTTTATAGGTCGTTTTTGAGGTTCAAATATTGCTTCATATTTATGAATAACCCTGTATGTACATTTTGTCGTTTTTTCCACTTTTTAAATTGCTGTAAAGCTGTAAGAATTCTTCTATTAATTCAATAAACTTTCTGTTTTGTATACTCTAAATCAGTGAATTTTCTTTTCTAAACCTGTTTTACAACTTTTTCTGCAAATTCATTATGTAAGTACAGTGCGCTCAAAAAATCTTACTATCAAGTAGGCGTACTAGTTGAGGACGTATGTCGTATGGCAGTTCGTATATTAGATAGATGTCAAATATTATTTTATAAAAATTAAAACATTTATATAATCAAATTGAATTATTCTATTAAACGTCTCAAAACATCCTAAAAAGCGTCATTTTTCTAACGTTTGCGGATAAATATTATTTTGACACATCTCATTTGTCATTGGGACAATTTATCTTCCGCAGACACACGTTCTAAATTTGTACGATTGCTTGATAGAAAAACTTTTTGATTTGAGTATCTAAATCTTCGGGTTGATTTTTGTTTTTGTAACCTCTGAAACTTTTTAATTTTTTATTTTAATAATTTTGCATAGTGCCGGTTTCGATTACTTATGCATATTTTTTTGTAGATTTTATTTTATATTAGGTTTTGTGATACCCAAATTTTGTATTTTGCTTCCTATAATTTTTAAATCCTCTTGAATCTGAAAATTTTGATTTCTTTCTCTTCGGTTTTTGCTCTATTAAATCAAAGAAATAAAATTAAATAAGAAAAATAGATCATTATAGAAAATTTCAATTTTTTTGAATTAATTTTAATTTCAATTACGGCATTTTTCTATTTGTTGATAAGACTCTTACCTTGCCACATTGGTCGAAGTGTCCAAAAAATTCTGTTTGGCTCCTTTGCAATCCAATCCAATTGCTACAAACTCCCCTTTATACTCTTTCATCATCTCCTTAAAATCATTATAAGTCAAAAAATGCTTATGCTGTAGTCCCGCATCCTAAAAAAAACAACATTTCTATCAAAAACACTCAAAAAATCCACAAACCTGAAACATCCCCTCAATCAACTCGGTCACATGATCATCACTCAAACTTGTCGTCCTCGCGATCTCCACCAAAGACCTCAACATCTCCGACAACTCCTCTTTATCGATGACCCCATTTCCATCATTGTCGCACATGTCGAAGATGATCCTCAACTTATCGTCGGTTTTCCCGCGGGAAAAGAGGACGACGGTGTCGAGAAACTCCTGGAAGGAGATGCGGCCATCTCCGTCTTTGTCCACAATATTAAACATTTTCTTCACGAAGACGGCGTCGTGCTTCATGCCGAGAGCACTGGCGAACTCGCTTTTTGTAAGGGAAGTCCTCATGACTGTCACCACTTCGCCGTCGACGCTGGCGTCGGACCTGCGACGACGCTCCCCAGGTCTTAGGCCGAAGGTCAAGGCGTAAGCCTCTCTGAAGAAGTGTTCCAGCTTTTTCTGGCGACGCTCGCTCGTTTCAGCTTTAGCCAACATGATTTCACGCACTACTTCGGTGATAATTAGCGATTTTTTATTCGAAGTCAAAAATAGTTCCAATTTTGTCAAAAACTTTTTCCGCAAACCGATTGAGTCAAGTTCGATGACCAAATCATGGTCACGTGGGACGCGAACTAGGACCATTGGTTTTTTCTGATTGGTCAGTTCGACCGAAATTTCCACGTAGACAGTTTCGGTGTTTTTGAAATTGACTGTTCGGAGTTTTTCGCCTTTACGGCCGATGATATGTATGGCTATTTCAGGGCCGAATTTGATTTTGACTAGGCGTTTGTGGTTCGCATGGAGCCATTCTTGGACGATCATTGTGTCCACTGGGAGTTTGCCTTCGACGCTGTTTCGTAATTCTTCTTGTTTGATTTTGAGACGTCGACGACGGCGGTTTTGGAGTTTGACAACGCCGTAGCCGGCGCCAGCGCATAGAATTGGGACGAAAGCCAGAAAAACACACGCGTAGATATAGACTAATTCATTGCCCTAAAAATTTGATTGAACCAAAATAAATATTCTTTCAAATTTCAAAAATTTCGAAATGATACTTTCATTGTCAAATGTTTATGTAATTTACAGTCCCATACAAATTCTTAGTTAGCTAAACACATCTTAGTATTTGCGTCAAAAACACATCACAAAAGTCTAATTCAAAAAAAATATCAAAGGCCGGCAAAGATCAATTTTTTTAAAGCAAATTCAAGCAAATTGATTTAAAAAAATCTTAGGTTTCTTACGCTTTTTCTGCTAGTTACAGCCTACAGGCTGTCCCAAAATCCGCGTAAGAGCATTATAACAAGTAGGAATATTATACAAGGCACATGAGGCATAGACAAAATTTATAAACAATCGGTTTCTAAAAAATTTACATGTGATTATTTATTTAATTTTTATTTAGATATTCTAACGGGAGATGTTGTCACGTACTTTAAATTTTACTTTATATTAGATAATGTGCAACTCAGAATAAAGATTTTTTGTTTAATTTTCTAATAGCCTCTGCAATAAATAAATATATAAAACTATTAAGTACCAAATGTGCGAATTTTAAACCTCTATAATAACAAAATTATTATAGACAACATTTTTTAACATACAGGGTGTTTGTGAATTGCGAGCAAATATTTTAACCACTAAGAGAATTTGTTATGAAAAGTCGAATTGAAGACCAAACAAATTCCGTATCCAGATTTTAATTTTGCAATTTCCCCCCTATGATTTTCATGAGCCGTTCAGTGTGTCTGTCCTTGTTAGTTGGAAGTAAAAATATCAATACATTGAATGTTGACCGTGAAAGTTTTTATACAGAAAAAAAGGAAACTTTTTGTCCAAAAAAATTATCACTTGTTTACACGTGTCAGTTTAGTTAGTCGTTAATGCGCTTTCGGGTAAATTGTGCACATCGATTTGAAATCAAATTGTCAATCAAGTCATTATGGCCAACTACTCAAATGCCACATATTACCTCAACGTTTAATTAGTGCCGTTTATCTGGATTTTTTGGAAAATGTGTTGTCCGATCTGGTCGAGGACGTGCCCTTGGCGACACATGCGGTATTTACAAGTGGAGCTCCATCAGATTATGCCAAAGTCGTCACCAATGGATTGAACAATCATTTTCCCTAGAGATGGATTGGTCGCGAATGACCACCGTGGTCACCAGATTTAAATACGTGTGTTTTTTGGGGGTTCACATGAAACAATTAGTGAATTAGGGTACGCAGCTCAAATTTATACCTTCGAAGGGCTGTGTGTGCGAACGCAAGCTTACCTAGCCCGAAGAGTACAAGAAATGTGCATTGCCAACGAATGACCACATTTTGAGCAATTTTTTATAATAGCAAGTATTGACCCACTAACATTGACACTGATCTACCCTAATGTAGCGATAATTTTTTTGTCTTTACGCTGTTTACGTTCAAAAGTTTTTTCTTATGAACGATTGTAAACATATCGTATTAAGACATAGGCAGGAACGGGTATTCAGCCTCAATTTATTTTTAATTTTAACTCAAAAATGACGTGCTTTCGATAAAAGTTGGAATAACGAAAGTTGCTTCTTTTGCCGAGTTCTATTAGTGGTTAAAATATTTGCTCGCAATCCTCAAACACCCTGTATACAGAGCATTAAAAAAATAAATGAATAAATGAATAAACATGGGTCCCCGCAAAGTAACGGTTTCGGAAATATCGAATGTGAACATTTTTAGAATTTTTAAAAGCTCTTCTCTTTTTTATTTGAACAGATTGCAACTAAATGTTTCAAAAGACGTATGTATATTCTTCGTTATTTCCAAAACCGTTATTTTGCGGACCCACGTTTATTAAGACTTTTTTGTTTGTTTTGGTTAATACTATTACCTCCTGAAATATTTTACAATCTTTTTTTATTACCCTGTATGTATGTATATTTCTCTTTGCACTTTACGTAATAATGTATCCTCAAACTGTTTTACATATTTTGGGACACTTGTATATTTCTTCAATTTTGTTTTATACTGTTTTTATCTTCTGTTTTAAATCTTCAAAACTTGAATATTTTTATTGTATTTTTTAAATTTTGTCCTTCTTAAAATTTCTACATTCTTTTTTTTTGTAAAGTATGATTTTTTTATATTCTACATCTGCATCTGTGCTTAGAGGTAAAGAAGTATCTCGATTATTATAGATTTAGAGAAAATAATATAAAGTAAAATTTGATCTTCTGGCATATTGGAAAAAGTATTAACTCCATTTAACAAAAAATTGTAAATATACGATTTTTTAGCTCGAAGGTACATCCTGAAACTTTTCATTTATTTGTGTGTAATTTTTTAATAATAAATTACAAAGGATTATATTGTGTTACGTGAATAAAAAATATGAAACTAAACGGTTTTTGCTTAAACTATTTATTTTTTGAAAAAACTAATTGGTGAACAATAAAGTACTATAAAAATGCGAGGTTTTATCAAGAATAAAATTTTTCGAAATTTTCTTTTGTTTTTGAGTTCTGCAAATTTTTTTATTTTTTTAAATGGCAACCCACTATAAAATTATAACTATCTACTTTATATTTAATTTTTATCAATTTTTTTTACAATATGAGTGTTTTGTGAACGGACCACAACTTTTAATACGCCTGGCGAGGTGTCAAATGCCAGATTAATAACTTTCAATACGATCGTTCGTTCACAATCATGGATAGCTTTCACGCCAAATTTTAAAACATACCCATTATAAACAATATATTTTTCTACCTGTCTTTTGTAAACTAGATACTAACATTTCTTACTTTCATCTACTACATTTTAAATTTCATAAAAATCCTTGGGCAAATAGCAGAGATATTAGACCCGAAAGTCGTTGTATTTATGAATACTCTTTTAGTACTATTTTAATTTGTAATTAATAAAAATCTTCAGTTAACAAAACCTCCAAGAATTGTAATTACAAAAATCCATGTAATACCATAATAAAATAATTTTTCCATAAAGGCAAAGAAATGAATTTTGCCAGAACAGTGTTAATCTTTTCCGAATTACTGTCCCAAATATGAAATAAACTTCATCTAGTTTTAAGCAAGAACACTAAAGTAGTTACCTTTTTATTTTAATGTTTTACTTTTTTTATTTTTAGAAGACTTTTGTTTGTATTTTGTAATACCCAAATAAAACTTTGTTTTTATATTATAAAAAACTGAAATTAGTCTAAGTGAAAACATCATACCAATTATACTTAATTTGTTTTTACGAGTGTTTAATTTGTTTCTGACATTTTTTAATCAGGAAATCCAAGCGCACTAATTTGTTTATCTAAAGCAAATTATAAACATTCTTTCGCGTTGCTTAACCATTAATTAATCATACAAATCGCCCAATTAATTTACCTCAAAATAATCGTATCCATTTAAGATTTTACACGGCTCCATTAGCGACGTATTCAACTGCATCGGTTGTGGACATGGATCTCCATTCATCCAGAAAAACACATTTTTTTGTATATGATTCGGTGCGATATTCGTACTATTTACAATAACATCCCACAACGTGACTTTTCTTAAATTTGCAATTTCTTCACTAGTAAAAATCCTAAAAATCTTCATTTAACTTTATACGAAAATTCTTTCACAAACCCCGTTTACCCATTGTCCTCATTCTCGAACCAGAATCTATCCGAATCTCGAAGTCGGGCGAATTGCTCTTTGATGACGGTGGTGAAGAGTTCACCAGGTCCTCCATAACTCTCCAACATGCCTCCTACGTAAACGTCAATGTTGTTTATGTTATTGGAGTAGGCAGAGACAAGAGCTCGTAACAATTCCGGTTTTTCCTCGAACAATTTCGGGTTGATGTCGGCCCACTTTTCGATTTTTGGCAAGCCGTAATAAGCCCGAATTGTGTTGTAATCTGGAAGGCCGTTGTCCCTCCCACGCATTATATTCAAAGCCCCCAAATCCCTCCTGGAGAATTCCATCGGTCCGAACAATTTATCCCTGACATCCGAACACAAAACCGAGTCCTCCCTTTCAGCCAACTGAGACGCCATTCCCATCAAAAGCTTCTCCAAGGAATGACTAATCAAAACATCCTTGAACAAAACAAATTAAAGTCTGTTTTTTTTTTTTTAATGGAAATGCCAAACAGTCTTAACGTTGGCATCACTAGTAAATTCATTCATGGTAATTTTAATAAAGGAAGTTGGCAGTTCCGGTTTTTTGAATTAATTTGAAAACAATGTGATTAAACGTCAACACAAAAAATCGTCTAAGGAAATTTAGAGACGAAACACCAAAAAAGAAACAAATTCGGTACACTAACAGTTTTTCGAAATTTGGAAACGAATAGTTCGCAAGCAGGTAGTTAGAAAAAAGGCCCGTTAAAATGTAGACGCAATTTGTAATGCAGCTTTGCTAAACATTCTTAATTTTTAGCAAAAAATTAACACGAATACAAAATAAACATGAATGAGAAAGAACCTCGGAAAGAACGCAATTAAATTAGTGTCTTGTGAATCGTTTTTTGAGGAATGAGTTGAAAAAGTAATAATTTTGAAACTAAAGCTGAAGAAGAAGTATAAAATGCAACAACTTTGAGCTCATTTCAATCAATTACACAAAATTTATTGCCAATCATCATAATACCTACTTGTATCTTTTGCTAAATAACTTTTTTCTGTATATACATCCCGTTTCTTCAAAGTTTTTGTAGCAAGAATCTCATTTTTGTCCACAACATTGTACTTACTTGCGGTGTGTTTCTGTCAAAATTATTAGCACTGAATTCTGTCTTTAGACCTTAGATAATTATGCCTGTCCTCAGGTATTCAATTATAGCGCTTTCAAAGAGCAAACAGGCACGCAAGATTCATAAAAGTCAAAATTTTGACAACATCTCAATTGGAACACAACCATAATTTTTTAACAAAATTTCTAGGGACAAAAACAAAGAGCAAATAAAATTTGTGGCTATGTAGACAAGCTGCTACCAATTTTTTCACCAAAATTTTGACTTGGTAATTTCCATTAAACAGACTTTACACTTTGGTAAAACAAAAATTCACTCACATTAGAGTCCCACCACGTGGCACACAGCCTTAGTCCCATCGGAGATTCTTCAAAGTTGCATTCGCCGTCCCTCCGGTAGAGTCCGGGAGGGATTAGGGAATGGCCGTAACGGAAGGCCGCACTTTGAAACACGTGCGTGACTCCGGGATGGACGTCTTGTTTGTATCCGGAATATTCCGGGAGTGGTTGGCCTAGAAATGCCGGGATGTATTCGTAAGCGATAATGTTTTGGACGGTGGCGACGACGATTCGTCTCGTTCGTTGGAAGACGTCTTCGTCGGACCAATCCGGGTGGTCTTTTTGGACGCGCTCGGCGACGACGTTGTGCCAACGAAAAAATAAAATGCTGATGGTTAGAAGAGCAGGGTTTTGGTTGGTTCGGGGATCACCAAGCACTACAAAAATGGGGGTGAGATTTGGCCGGAAAATGGACCGAATAAAGATTTAAGTCAAAGATGAAATAAAGCAAAAAAGTTAATTGCGAAATACATAATTGCGACTTTTATACAGAATGTTGTCTTAATATAGCAAAAATTGCAAACACACATTCTACATCTAACGACAAAATAAAAACAAAAAAAAAATTAATAAATGTCGAGTGACGTGCTCAGTACACGCCACTGATGGTAAAAGTTAGAAAAAAGTAATTGCAAAATAAGCCGCTTTCAATAGCTCATAAATTTTATAAAAATAACTCAATTGGTTTCGGAGAAATAGGAGAAAATCAGCCGCCAACAGATGATACTAAAACCTCAATGTTTTCCCCATTTGAATAGTTTACAGTTGATGTGCCAGATGTCTCCTTTCCTAATTTTGGCGCGTAGCTTAGACGACGGCGCGGCGACGTTTTGGCGGCATTTTGACGGAATTTTGTGACAACTTAAAAGTTTTATTTAATTTGTCACCTAACGTTTTGTAAGAGTATTGTTTTGTTTAAAATAATAATGACAAAAGTTGAAATCTCCATTTTAGAGAGTAATGCATCGAAATAGACCCTCCCACATAGTTTTTGCAATGAGGTACGAAGCAAAAATGCTTGCAAGTACTCATATTTACATTGACTTGTCAAATTGACAAAAATGGAAAATTGATAGTGACAAAATATGTTTTCCCCATTTGGATAGTTTCAGCTACTTTACTGATTTTCTCCTATAACTAATGGATTTTAATTTTTATCATGCAACTTTATCTATCACCCTGTATATCCGTAACTAAGTTTTATATGACTATTGTTTATTTGACAAATTAGTGTTTTTTTTCGATATAGAATATGTGGTTGCAATTTTTCGCAAAATTAAAAAGAAATCCTGCATATGATATACAGGGTGTTTCGTTTTTATTATTACAAATTTAAACAGGTGATAAAACTTTCAACCTCAAGACAAAAGTCTCTTATAAACATGTATTGATAAACAGTATGTAACGGGCTACACCTCTCGAAAGGGTACGTTTTTTAATCAGTTTTTTTCCAATATTTCAAAAAAATACAAAATTTTGTACATCTGATAACCTTTATAGTTATTTACGTAATCAAGGCTACTAAGAAGGTCACAACAACCGAGGGAGTTGTTTGAGGTCTGCATCGTTATGGCCTTTAACAGCACGTGGTACGTACGTTTTTTACCACATTAAAAAAATATTTTCAAATTCGAAAATGTCAATATTTGAAGGTTTCAACTGTCACAGCAGTTAAAAAGCCAGACGTTTAAGAGAAATTTGGGCTGTTAAAACCTCTTAACAGTCCTGCGTGGTATTGGTAGCTTAACGATTGTAAATTATTGGTTGCATGTTTATACCATAACAACATGGAACGAAAAAAATACAATAAACAATCTGTATCATTATTTTTCGAGAGTTTATTATCTGTAAAACAAACACGGGGAAATTTGTATACTTTTTAATTATACCATCTGACGTATATTATTTTTTGTGTCTTATTTTTCTGTATACTCTTTTACATAGTATTTATTTTAAATTCTGCATTTTATACTTTTTTTAAAAATCGATAACACTGTTATGTAAGTATAGTAGAATCAAGATCTTTAAGGCAGAGGGACAGAGATGTGACAGAAACAGACAGTACACAGAGTGCGCCAGAACTCGCGACCCAGAGAAAAATGTCATATAAGGTAAGATACCAGGAACATGGGAAAAATGTTAAAAAAAAATTATCTCCAAAATTTTCGAAGTTATAAGAGTTCAAATTTTGCACTTTGACTCTATTTATTTCTGTTGGAAAAATAATTTTCCAAGTTTTTTGTTATTAGAAGAGGAAACAAGGAAGCTGTATCCTAAATTGTAACTCCGTCTAATGTTATTAGCGAACAGGTGAGTCAATGTAGTAATTTGCACCGATCTGCTTGCGCAATAAATTATACCAGGTGAATAAAAAGTATGGAACCTAACGTTTTTTGCTTAAACTATTTATTTTTTTGAAAAAAACAATTGATAAATGACGTTTTATCAAGAATAAAAGTTCTGCAAAAAATGTGTATTTATTTTAAATGGCATCCTACTATAAAACCTACAGGGTGCGCCAGAACTCGCGCCCCAGAGAAAAATGTCAAATGCCGGGGGCAATAGGTCGCCAAAAAGTGCAGCCGAAGAAGTAATTTTTGCTTGCATAAGAGAGTTATTAGACTCTTAAATCCACCAATCCCAGAAGGGCACCTCAAGGTGTGATTGAAAAATTATATCCGTTGCTACTCGTAGGTTACGAAAATAATACCAATTTGCTCAGAATTTAAAAAAATAGCTGGTCTACTGTAATTTTGCGTTTGACATTTATTAATTTGTGGGTGACATTACCTGCTAGTTTGCAGTATTTTTCTCGCATAAGAGGTTGTACACGAGTATAATGAGACAGAATCGTTAATTATTATCAACAATTATCAAAAATTATTTTGAAACATTCTGGAAATTCCTGATGAACCGACTTCTTCACAGGTATTGTTCCTTCTCAACTTTTTCTTCGATCTGATACAGATTAACAAACCGTTAAATGAATTTTAGAGCTTGAAAACTAGTGCGTTATCTTTATGAAACAAAGAAGCAAGTGAGAGTGTGACCAGAAAAACATGAAGAAGTACGCAAGTTTCTTTATTTACTTTAATGCAAAATTAACAGAAAAATGTACTTTTTTTAATGTTTTTTTTTTAATGTTTAAAGTTAAATATCTTTTTAGTTATTGATTATAAACACCTAAAAGTAAATGATTTTGGAAACAATTTAATAATCTCTTAAATGCAAAAACAATAAATAGGGTGTTCCATTTAAATTTTTTAAGTTATTGAACTTTTAACAGACGTCTTCATTTTTTTAACATTGCAAATGCAACACACTAAAAACATGTTACAGCCTTATAGCTTGTACCTTCTTCTTTATGGTAGTAAAAAAATATTTCTAGATGTTTTAGTTTTTGTGTCATAAATTTTTAAAAAGTGCATGTTTTCGTCAAAAAAAACGTCTTATTTCTAAGACTTAGCTAAATCGACCAATAAAAGTTTAAAACACTGTCATAAAAATCTACATCCAAAAATGCTAAGAAACGTATGGTGTTTCATTTAAAAAAACACAAGTTTGTAGTGTAACTTATTTTTGAGACACGCGGTATAGTTGAGAATAATTTTAGGCGATGGACTAGATTAGCATCCATTAATTTCCTATATACATGTGTTAAAGTTTTATCGTTTAAAGGTCAATATTGGACTTTACCAACTCTCTGGGACACCCTGTATGTTAATTATTATTTTCAGGAGGCAAATGATTTAAAAAACGCTTGTTTTCATACTTTTCATTCAACCTGTATATTTTTTTTTATTTGAATTTAGTATTCTGTTTACAGTTTTTGTATTTTTATTTTACAGCTAAAAATACAGGGTGTTTACAGATTTGAAGACAGACAGATTTGAAAATTGAACTAATAATAAAATAGTACAGAAATACTGTAACCGAGAAAAAAATTCACACAATTGTTGTTATTAAGAATGCTATTAACCTCCAAAATATTGGTACACGGTTTGAGGGTCACTGGAATTATTTCTTTGTTCAGATAAAATTGTATTGTTGCAACAGATAAAAAATCGTATCCATGACAATGAAAGAGAAAAGTCACTTCATAGTTTTGACACTTTCATCATTTGATTTGCTTTTGCTTAAGTTTTTATCAAAATTCGAAGATCTGTTTAATTCTGTTTAATCTCTTTCAGTGAAATAGTTTCTAATAGGTTTGATTCGTTTCTATTATTTTTTTCCAAATTAATGAACATGTATGACAAATATTAAAATAATAAATAATTGGTTGTCGTGATTATGATTTACGGTGAAACACGAGGTAATGATAATAATGGCCATTGTTGCACACGAAGTAGCAGTTCTCAAACAAATAGTATAAAATGAATTATTTTCTTTAACTACGTAAATTGTTGTTTTATATAGCGTATTAGTTTTCTTCTACCGTGAAAATCATCTCATTTAAATTTCAACCTCAAGACCGTAAACACCCTGTATACTCATAGATAGTATTTTTTTTTATTTTAGGTGAAACATCAAATGTTGTATGTTTCTTAAATATTAGCCTTCCGCTGAAGTTCGCCTTACAATATTATTATAATTTTTTTTTCTTACTTAAAAACCCATTATTGTTATTTGTAATATTATTTGTAATTTGTATTTTCATTCAATGTTTAATATTTTCATTCTGATTTGAACGGGTTTTTTGTACATTCTATTGTACTATACTCTATCTTTTAATTTTCTTTTAATAGCATATTTAATACATATTTCGCATATTGTACTTCATTTTAGCAATTGTTTTCTTCAATTTTACAAATTTTCCTACATAATTTTATAAACACAATTTCTGTAAATGTTTATTGCTTTTTATAATTCATCTTAAAATTTATTTGACTTAGTTTCCCTTTCGGCCCACACACATCACTTCAACTTACAAAACAGCCTTTCGGTACTTAACATTTTCATGACATGTGGCACAGGGTTATTGAAAAGTGGCACTCTCATCGAGTTTCGCACCGGCATCTTGCCGGTGGCATCCGTCAAAAACGTCCCATTGCGAAACGATCGCATTGCGTTAACCCACGGCTCGCTGGTACTATAAATAAAACTACCATCGATCCAGCTCGTCACTTGATTCAACTACAAAACTGAATTACACTCCGGTATTCCAAAATTTTTGGCGACTAAACCTGCTCGCGGGGGCTGTTGGGGCTTTGGCCCGTCTTCCTGTCATATCCGGCCCTATGGAAAGGGATGTACTTATCCCCGCGACACTCTTTATCGTACACATCGTCGCACTTTTCAATCTCGATGTGGTGCATTTCGATGGGACAGCCGCTCTCGGAGGCCATCACTACCTCGGAGGTCACCATTTGGCCGAAAAAGGCCAAAAGGGCCGTGCGGTTGTTCATGGAACCCAAACCGTCGATGCCTCGCATGAAAAGGCGGCTTAGCTTGCGAGGACTGGGGCGGTTTTGGCCCGCCAGCATGTAAACCCCATCTGAGTAGGCGGATGGGGCTCTCCTTATCAAGTGTGACCCTAACCAGATAAAGAAACAACACAATAAAAAAATTAATTTGTTTTTGACGCCCTTGATTTGCATAATAATAATATAGTGTAACAGCCAATAAACTTGCGTAATTATTTATTTATTGACAAATTTGCCGGTCCCCATGAACTAATAGACAATTAAATTAAATACATATTTGTTCTCATTTTTCTACTTTCGAAACGAGATACCTAAATCTCCGTTTCAAGGTTACAATTAGCACACGTGATGTTCCAATTTTGAAAATTTTTCAATTTTTCAGACATGTGGGTAACGGTAATGAATTCTGAAAATTATATTTGGTATTATCAAGGTTAAATGTCTTAGTGAGTGCCTTGAGCAATCAAATATTTCATTGATTAGCGTATCGAATATTCAGGAATTTGTTATATTTGGTAAAAATAATTACCAAGTTAAAGAAGATCAAGATTTTGCGAGTTCAACACACAAGGTCATTTTTTTGCTCAAAAATGTGACATTTGAAGCATTTTGAAATGGCCTAGACTGTGCTGTATACACGGTGAAGAAAAATAATTAATTTTTGTTTTCTGTAGTGGAGTTTTAAATAATTTTTTTATTACATAAATAATAATCAAAAAGTATGGACCCATGCATAAACTAATTATTTTATAAAAAAATATAATTAGTGCGATCGTGTTTCAAGAATAAAATTTTTCCATTTTTCTTTTATACATAGTAAGTACTTGTAAGTATTTGCAATTATTATTATATTATTATTATAAGACCTTTTTTACAAAGGTTATAATTTAAGGATCACAACTATCTACATTTTATTCAATTTTAACCAAAAAGTTGCTATCAAAAAAAATCAATAATAACTCAAAACAGCTATTAACACAACAAGAGTTTTACTATAAAACTTGTATTGTTTTCAAAATTTTTTCCACAACGTATTTTATAGAAAGAGTATATACAGGTGCGCCAGAACTCGCGCCCCAGGGAAAAATCTATAAAAATTTCGAAGTTATGAAAGTTTAAATTTTGCACTTTGACTCTATTTATTTCTCTTGCAAAAATTATTTTCTAAGTTTTTTTTGCTACAGTCTATTAGAAGAGGAAACAAAGAAGCAGTATCCCAAATTGTAACTCTGTTCAATGTTATTTGTGGCTTCAATTGGCAAAATTTTTGTACCTTTACTAAATAATTGTAAAAAAACATATACAAGATCATCAGTATCATTAAATAGACATGAAAAGATGTCAAATTTCAAAAAATATATGCCAAAATTTTTTGACAGATAGTATTTTTTAAACATTTTTTTCATGTTCCTGGTATCTTATCTTATTACTTGAAATCTTTCTCTGGGGTGCGAGTTCTGGCGCCACCTGTATTAGTGACAACATAATAAAAAGTAAGCTTAAATGCACCACAGAAACAGTATTGGAAAAACAAAATAAAATTTCATTCTCAAAATACGATCGCATTTTTATACAGACTGTTCTCAAAGTTGAGGCATTTCTTTTACCACGAGGTAGCCTATATCGTCTCGTTTTAGTAAAATGTTTTTACTAACAGATAATTTTTCTAGTTTTCTAAAATTTTGAGTCCGGTCCTGTCTATCTACCTCTTTGAGATGAAAGCTTTTAAAATAACCATTTCATTGACAGTTTTTTGAATTATGTCAATAGCCATTTGATTTTTTGTCAATACTAATGTTTCAAAAATATCAACGCAAATTTAAACAGGACCGGCTTCAAAAATTTCAAAAAAATCAAGTTATTTTATCTGCGTTACCATCAATATTTTACTAAGGTGTTTTGGGCTAAAACTCTTAAAAGAACAATACCTGTTAAAAGGAACGCCTCAACTTCGCGAACAGCACTCTAATTTTTATTAATTATTTTCTGAAGGCAAGTGATTTAAAAAATGTTTGGTTCCATACTTTTTGTTTCTCTGTACCTATAAACTACAAAAAAATATATTATTTTTTTTAACTGAATAGATATGTTCTTTCTAACAAATTTTTAGTTATATTAATTAGTTAATTACTTTCTGAGAAGCTTGGAAATTTGAGAATTAACTTTCTAATTTTTTGCACTTGGAAACTATTGTTTCTCAATACATATGAGTTCTTTATAAAATCAACAAATTCACTTGTTGGTTGCTTAGGGAGGGGTAAATTAAAATATCAAAAGTCTTTCCATTTCAACATATTTTAAATAGATAAATTTAAAAAAACATGATTTTTTGGTATCTTTTATAATTCCTTAACATTCTTTTCTAATTATCTTATATACTATCACAACCCGATTTTGATTTTTGGTCAAATACGTTTTTTTATCCATGTAATTATGTACTTTCTGAAATATTTGGCAACGGAAGAGTACTTCAAAATTGAATTTTCCTGATTAATGAGTAATTATGCTAATTTATAAAGCGTGTAATTGAAAATACGTGGTAATTTCCAAATTTATTGGCAACGTTTAATTATTTATTCACAATTACTGAAATTAATTAACTAATACTTGTCTATTAATATTTTTTTAACAGAATTAATGAAATTCTTGCTCATTGATTATAATCGATAGATCAAATATTTCCGGGTGAAATACTGTAATAAATTGTTTATTGTACAAAGCTCAAGGGCGGGAAAGAAATTCAGTCAAAATTTTTAATTTTTTTTTATCTGTTGCTAATTAATAAATTAATACTGAAAGAGACATCTATAAAATATACAAAAATCGGCCGGAATTTTTCACGTCTTCATTTCCAACCAGTTTTTTCACATTTTTTGATTTTTTTCCCATACCTACAAGCTTCAACATTACAAATCGGCATAGCAACAGTCTTTTTTTTAAAAGTCATCTTCGAGAAATGTATGCAAATGAAGGTACAATAAAATCTGTCACAATAAACCACCAACAAATTGCCTTAATTAATAAAAATCGCCGGTTTTACGGCAAAATCCAGCATGACTCAAGCGACTTTTTGCAAATTAATTTTGCATAAATTATGAAGGTATGTCACTTTACGTAATATTTTACATTTTCCATAAATTCTTACCCACAGAGCCCCAATCTGGATGAGCCAAATTGTTGAACCATCCATCATAGCGCTGGTTCTCCGTTCGACTGTAGTGTCGTTCTGAAAAATCACAAATTAATTTCTAAATTGAAAATTTTCTTTGTTCGAATGCATTTACTCATCGTACAGTCGTTTACAACCTTGCTTGTTGTTCCTAATAAGTTACATAGAGAGAAAGTGAGTAAAATAATAGCGATATGTAGCAAAAGTAGGTTACATTTGTAAATTATCCCGTTTTCACACGCCAGATTTGAAACTAATTGAGTTTTGACGAGACCACATCGAGACAGATGGAAGAAATTCCGGTCCAGTGACCCAAAACTGGAGCAACCTTGACTCAATTCCGGTTGCAAATCCTAGTCTTTTATCATTTTACGTGCTTGTAATGTATTAGGGTTACGTCAAGGATGACGAAATTTAAAAGTACCATTTTTTCTTTTGTAATCTTAGTTCGATTTTTCTCTCATTTTTACTTTCATTTAGGTCAGCTGGTCTAACCTAGACACGACCTAGTGTGGAATTTTTGCAGACACACCTGCGATTGTAATTACTGAAATCGAGGCAAAAATTTACTCCCTTTTGTCAAACACACTGACAATTATTAATTAATACTAATATTTCAGTTATTTATTGACGTTTATGTAACAAGTCTGGTTTGCCCGAGGATAAGATATTTGTGCTAACTTGAAGAGTTTTATTGAGTAATTAACTTTAAAAGAAATACATCTTTCCACTCTCACCCATAACACAGTTAAATAATTGAAGTTTTATTTTTGGGAATAGACGAACTGATAAGATCTTATCACAGCGAAACAATGAAGCCAAAAAGTGATAAATTTATCGTCTTCCGTCCGTTGTTTCATAGAACACTCAAAATTGTGAAGAATTTCTCTTTTATACATAATATACCACCTGGCACTAGAAATGTAACACCTTTAAAAAATCTTAGTTTACAAAGCAAATTCTAATTTTTTGACTAATTTAAATCTTAATTCGATTAGTAAAATAAATGATTAAAAATTTATTGTGAAATAACAATCTGATATCCAACAAATTGTATCTATGAGACAAATATTGCTAAAATAATAAAAAAAACAATTCTTATCAACCAATGTGTTGCATTTCTAATGTCGCGCAATATAGAGGGTGAATAGACCGACAAAATTTTATCACATCTACCTAAGGATAAATGGAGACAAACTTTACCCTTTTTATGTTTATACCTTTTAGGGGCAAAACCCCCTTGATCCGTGCCACTTACGGCGTTTATGAATTGTTGCAATAAYCAAGTACGTTAATACCATGRTTACCACTACCTGTGCTAACACATCAGTGACGTTCGCTTTACTTCGAAAATAAATTTTATTTGAAGAACGTTTAAACAAAGAATTTTTTAAATATTTTTTTCAGCATGTTCCCATTTGATATTACCAAGGATTAAATTTTGTCGGTCTATTTAAGAATCACCCTGTATGTTTGTATCTATTTATCGACAACAAGAAGATGTATCTATACAAAGTATACAGGTATACTCTTTTTTATATTAATGTGCATCAAGTAAGTTGTAGAAGTCTAAATGCATTTTTAGTTTAAAGGCCAAGTCACATAGAAAATGTCATTAATGTCATTCAGAACAAATTTAATCACATCAGTAATGACAAATATCTTTAAGTTTACCAGTCTATGTTAATTAGATTGTTAATTTTAATTATTTTTTGCTACCTGGGGTGCACATTTATTTGAAAAAATAATTTTTAGGGAACATTGAGGTTAGAATTGTTTGAATTTTGGCATGGTTTCCATCCTAAAATGATCCCTTTCAATGGCTACTTCGATGGACAATAATATGAAAACGAATATATACAAAGTATACATCTAAGACTTTCGGATCTAAAATATTTTTTTTTTGTGTAAAGGTCTAATTTATAATAACAATATAATAACAATTTCGCCTAATTTTAAACTGAGCAAATATGTGTTAATTATTTTTTATTATGAGGTAATTTTATTAATAAGAATTGAATTTCCACCCGAAAGTCTTACGTTAGAAGTTTAATAACTTCGCTAAAAAATTATTTAAAAATAATTAAATTAGAAATGATTACAAAGATTTCTTTTATCAGATAATACACAATACTCGTGTAAGATGTGTATCTCCTACCAACATCCGTTTTAATTTCAAATTCAAATTCATAAGCGTTGAACTTAAACATCTCTATAACATGCATCTGATTTGGAAATTATGTCAAATTTACATATGTAAAGAAAAAAAGAAACTTTTTCTAATAATAATAACATTGTTGCAAATTTTTATATATACAATGGATTCGTTGAGTAAAAGCGCATACAATGTTGTAGTGTTTTAATTAACACAAAGCATTAATTAAACTTGCGGAAATAAATTAATAAAAGTGTTGAAATTTTTCAAAAACATGATTTTAATTGCTAATCAATTTTTATATTCACTCTCAAATAAAAATATAGTATAATCTGTAATTTAGGAACTAATTTTTAAATTGAATACAGAGTGATTTTGAAAAATTTGATTTTTACTGGACTAGCAATTTGAAACTGATACTACATTACATTGTACAAAAACATTGCACATTTTAGTCGACATTTTTAAAATTTAGTGAAAACAAAACAAAAATGACGGAAAACGAATAATATTAAAGAAAGTTTTAAAATTAACAAGATGAATAAATATTCAAATGGGATTATAAAACTTTTGTCTGTTCAAATTTGGTAAATACCAACTTCCAAAACTTGTATCGCATTTTCCCTTTTTCTCATCCATTTGCCGAACTGAATTAGTCAAAAAATTTGCGGTATGTTCGTCATTTGAAAATTACATCTCTTTAAGGTAAAACCAATCAAATAATTTACCTATCGCTACAATTAACATAGCTTAAAATAATTGACATTTATACAAAAGAATTCACTTAAATAGGACAGAAAATGTCACTGTTAATAACTGAGTCACTGGAAACAGTACTAAGCTTCAACAATAATTTAATCACTTAATTAACTCACGATTCCGTCTTTAGATTTAATTTAAAAAATGTCACACATTTAAATGTAAACGCAATTAACCTAGAAATATTTGGTAAATCAAATACACATAAATAAAAATGATTGTCAATAGTTTGAAGAATTTCAACTCACGACTAGGTATTTACATTGCATAACATTTAATACTGTATAGTTTCAGCAACCTTCGGATAAATGTGCATCTCTTTAATTCGTTTAATTTGTGAAAATAATTATGACCTACTTCTTCCTGCGATTACAACGCCAGGATATCTATCACTTTGTTCAAGACCTAATTATTTCGAAAAGTGCAATTGCAAATCCGTATCGATTGACTTTTATTTATCACTGATTGTGACTGATAGTATCAGAATTTTTAAATAATGATAAGTACTCATTAATAAAGTACAGATATGTGGTAATTGCGTGCTAACGATTTTATTTTACTGCCAGTAGGTCAGGAAATCGAGATTTATGGAACGGATTCTTCAGCCAACTAACTTATTCGCAATGGTCATGATTTACTTAGAAAAGTAATTTTTTTATTAGTAGATAATTTTTTCGACATATTTTTATATCTATGAACATTTGTTCAAAATATTTGTAATAAGGCATCAATAACATAAAATACAATAAAATTAACAAGAGAGTGAAAACACTTTTTTTATGTACTTACATACATACAGCGTGGAGCCAAAGTAAAGAACAAAATTGATACATTTGATTCAAAATAATTCCGTTCGGGAATTATTTTGAAAAAAGATTATTCTTTTTTCAAAATAATTCCCGAACGGTTAGTTTCAATTTTCTAAATACTATATTTTGACACTATACTAACATTTATTACATCATTGGTTTTTAAGTAATGACGTCATCATTATTTTTTTATTGGCAACCGAAATTGTTGACTGTTTTTGTTTCCTTATCTTTCTGGTAGTTATAAAAAAATGATATTGTTTTAAGTTTCCACACTTGTCAGAAGTAAAAAGTTATCGATAACTAGTAATTACACAAGAAGGCCATTATCTTTTTGGTTTCATCTTATTTCATATGAGGTTAAGCTTAAAAGGTGTAAATCCTTTAAGTTAAGAAAAGAAACTGAAACTATGTTGAATTTTATTCGTAAGAAATTGAAGAACGGTTTTTCACCTATAAATAATATTTAATGAAAATTATGTTTTATTAAAAAAATACACTTTTCTAACTCTGGCAGATTGTATTCCAAGATTCTGAGATTTTAGAAATGTCTAAACGATTTGGATTCCGGCTGAAGAATAGGAATTTTACAAAAAAAAAAACAAAACAATATTTTTACAATTTTCTAGGCACAATTCACTTTTTAGTTTTTTTTCTTATCTGTATGTAATTGACAATGCTTAAAAAAATAAGTCATTGATGTGAAAATTGATAACATAAGTGAGAGTAACAGTAAGTCATAGATTTACCGATAAATATGAAACAAAGAGCCATTATCACGACTCAAAGGCGTTGTCATGTAAATTGATAAAATAAGTTATTACTAAAAAAATGTATCAATCTTATCAAAATCAGCCTGTCATGTGTATTTGTGTCCTGTTTTTTAAAACCGTTTGATATACACAAAATCAGGTTTTTAATAAATTGATCCATAAATAAAATGTGGACCAGAATAATAAATTGAGCCTAGTTCGATTACCTATGCAACGGTAGCTCCAGATATCAACAAAACGCTAAATTATGTAATAATGAACTTGAAATAAATTATCACAAAAAATTGTGAAACACAATTATATTTGCAACGAGGTTTCACTCAAAGACTTATTATTACATAAATGGGTTTATTGCCCATTAAAAGCGCCATTACCGGGACAAAAAGTGCTTTATCGCTCAAGGATGATAAGATGATGAGGCTTTTTGTAATAAATATCTTAATGTCTCTTTTGTCTTAGACATTTCAGTAGGATGCAGATATAGGGCATGATAAGCAAAGTAACACAAAATGTAACCTTGCAAAATAATTCAGAAATTGGGTTTCCTGGTGGTCGAAGGCGCGGCTTTTCGCCGTCTTTTCCATTGAAATAATAATTGCTCATGTCTTACCAGGTCGTACTGTCGAAATGGCAACGAGGACAATGACACAGAAAGTGAGTACATGAAATAAAAGAGATGTTAAAGAAACCATATCAAGTGTTTTAAGTCTTCAAAACGATAAAAAACCATGTAGAAATCAGCTGTTTAACATCCCGCACTCGCGAATATAATAAATTAAGTGGACGACATAGTCACTGTGAAGGTTTTTTCGAAGAGACAGCACACACACTCACGCATATCTACACTGTACTTCATTCACACTAACAGATTGCTTAAACAAAACCTCTCCATCAACAGTGAAGAGAAAGTAGACTTTACTTAAATCCCCTCCAGAACTGAACATGGATCTTTTATAATTATTAATTTTCTTAAATGAGGAGTTAAGTACACAAAATCGGAATGATTAGGAAGATACGATTCCCAAGAGATTTAGCGCTACTTTCTACGACTACTAATTAGGCTATTGTAGCGGTGCTGAAAGGTAATTACCCGCAGTGAGGTTACGATTTGGAGTTTCTAACAAAATCGATCCACGTTTTTTAATGTTTTTCAAAATTTTGTAACCATATTTAATTTAAAAGTTCTATAAACAATAAACAAACATAAAAATTTTACCACCTACTGGATGCAGACTTGCAGAGCTAAAATTTGCACATACAGGTGCGCCAGAATTCGCGCACCGAGAAAAATGCATATTGACTTTATTTATTTCTGTTACAAAAATAATTTTCCAAGTCCTAATTATTTGTGGCTTTTATTGGCAACATTTTGTACCTATACTAAATAATTCAAAAAAAAACAAATACAAGATCATCAGTATCATTCAATAGACATAAAAAAATGTCAAATGTTAAAAAATAAATGTCAAAAAATTTTTAAACTTTTTTTTCTCTGGGGCGCGAGTTCTGACACCCTGTACATGTATGTCTAAGCAAATTAAATATAAATGCCAATATTTTTTTCAATGTTTCAAACATTCAAATTATTTTTTATTACACTTGTTCAATAAGTGTGTATTAAAGTATTAATTTTTTGTTATTTCCTATTAAATTTTGAAAACTCATTACATGTCCATTCAGAAATAGTACATTACAAGCGAAGTGGTAAATATGTCATGTATGCTATTTTATTCACAATCACATTATTTTTAATCTCAAAAATTTGAGTAAAATAATATTCTAACAAAGTGGTAGGCCATCGGAATGGCGTTTGATTTTTGAAATTTTAGAAATGTCAAAGAAATATTGTGTGAATCCGAATTAAAATCGTCGAAATGGAGAAGTGTACTCCCTCAGAAGTAAAAGAAACTGCTACAAAAGTAATTTAATACTAATTTAGCAAAATATGCGTAACTTGACAATTTGAAAAAAAAAGTCCAGGTATTTTTGTAATTTTAAGGTTGGCTAGCCTGCATATTACCGCCCAAGAGAAGTAATATTATTACTTCTCATGAGATTTAATGATATGTTTCCCAACCTTTAAAAGGTTAGTAATCGACATATTACATTAGTGATTGTGAATAATAGTATATTAAAATAGGGTTTACAGTAGGCGTATATAGGTTACAATTTAAAATACAGTTTCCTTGTTTCCTCTTCTAATAACCTATAGCAAAAAAACTTGAAAAATTATTTTTCCAGCAGAAATAAATAGTCAAAGAGCAAAATTTAAACTCTCATAACTTCGAAATTTTTATAGATAAATTTTTTTTAACATTTTTTCCATGTTCTTGGTAACACACCTTATATGGCATTTTTCTCTGGGGCGGAGTTCTGGATTTAAACAAGAGATTGAAATTCCGATTCGAGCCGCGCAGCGGCGAGTTGAAGAATGAACAATTACTTGAATGGTCTTCTGTATCGAGTGTTTTAAACTATTTTTTCCTATGTTACGCTTTTTATGCTGTTTTTAAAGAAAATAAAAAAATAATTTACAAATTTAGAGAATTTTGCGTCAATTGGTGACAGTTGGCTTTAGAAAATTCTACTCTAACTGACATTTATCATTGTGCGTAACATAAAACTAAACTCTCAAAATTTGTTCATGTTTGTCACCAACATTAAAAACATGAAATACACTAGGCTAGTGTAGCACCCAAACGTGTTCATTACCAGTGATTTATTTTTTATCTTTCTCGGTGTTTAAAGATTCGAAAAATTTTATTGTTTTTATTTTAAAGTAGACAGAAAATTAAAAAAAACATATATCTACAATAGAACACTAATCTATGACACAAAAATGTCTATGACTTTGATGAAATAATACCTCTGTATCAATCAAGAAAGACCTCAAATTTTAATATTTTATTAGTGTGGAATTTAAAATTTTGAGTAACAAGTCAAAACGTTCCGTATTTATGCAAAATTTAATTTAAAAAAAGACATTTTACATTTCCTAGGTGAGCAATTTTAGTGTCACTTATTATAAGTAGGTATTTTGTTAAACTAATATTCGAGAACTAAAAACTGGTTTAAGACAATCAAATTTCAATGTTGCGATTAAATTAATTCAAATTAGTTTAATGTCTAAACAACGTAACTCGGTTGCTATAAAGTCTTTTAAATTTTTAACTTCTCTGAGCCTATTTACAGATAACAAATTAAAAATTTTATCCACAATTAAATTATTAGATTACAAAAATTTGACTGTGTAAAGCGGTAAACTAAAACAACTGTGGTAATTTTTTGTCGTGCAGTTTATTAAACTTTAGAAAAACGTTTCGTGAAAAAGACAATTAACAAAACATTGCGTTGTCTCTTGGCATAAATTAAGTTGTTCAGACTACAATGAATTGCTAACTAATTAGCGGTTTTAGTAATTTCGTTATAAAAAAAACATATTCAAGTAGTTCGTCTGTTTTTTGTTATAACCGCATACAAATTGGAAAAAGAGATGTTGTATGGTTTGTGGGCCGATTATTATATCCTGTGGTAAAACCGAGAAATCGAACTTCGCAATGAATCACTCTTGTAATAATAAATGTGTCATAGTTTCCTAAATGACCTAATTAGATACTTTATGACTTCAGTACCTGCTCCACATCTCGTTTGGATTAATACTTCAAGGTTCAAAAATAACCCTGATCTCTATTATAACAGGTAATAGATCAATGAAAAGGAACTATGGGAGATTATTCGATTTTTTAGTGCTAGATAAATATAAATTAGGAATTCATTGAAGTAAATAAGGTGATGTAAGCGTTATAAATTAGTAGATTTCTATGTAGTATTCTAGTTTAATATTTTTTCAATGACGTTCAGATCCGGTGCACATACATGTAGGAGAATTAAAATAAGAATAAACAGACACGACGTGTGGGTGAACATACAATAGTGCAATGCATTTTAATTTAAAGTATTTGTACCTCAAAAAAATCTTATATTAAGGGGATTCCACCTGTATTCTTTTTTTGCATACAATCAAAAAAATAAACATCAATATTCTGTCTTAAAATGAAATATAAAAGTTGTTCATAGTTGCTGTAGTTGAATAAAAAAAGTTGTTAGGTTAGTAAAAATGTCTGTTGCTAATAAGTAATAGGTAAGTAAAGTTTTAGTTTACAGTCTCTTAGCGACGAATATAAGCTTTAACCTTGACAGTTCCTAGCAACATAAAACAGACGTTAAATAACCTGGACTTAAAATAAGACACAAAAATGCAAAAAAACACTTTTTAATTAATAAATCTCATTTAAAAAAGTTCTTGATTATTATTAAAATTGATATTTTTAACGTGGCCATAAACAATCAACAACCAGCCGTGCAGATTATAAGAATGATAAAAAGACAAAAATTTTACCACATAGACATTAAATTTTAATTTATTAGAATAATATTGAAAAACTGGTCAAAAAGTCGATGTTTTGTCGTTAATTTTGAGATATCCTGCTATGTGCAAAAACTGTAGTTCGTCAAAAAGTAAAAAACAGTTGCAAAAATCATTAATAATTAATTAAAGTTTTTAGAATTAGAAACTTCTATTATTCTAAATACTACTTCCATAGAAATGTAGAAAAAGACATAGCTTATCATTGGCACACTATAAAGCAAAGTATTTAGCGCAGAATGAATAAATATGAAAATTTTTGATGCAAAGTAAAGAGTATGGTGTCAAGAAGTCAAGAAAGTCAAGAAAGAAAAAAGTAAGTACTATATTTTGGTATCAAATCAATAAATATTGTATTATTATAGTTGAAAAAGTTTTATTTTTAATTTTTTTTTCTATAGAAGATGTTAAACTATTTCTTTATCAACTCCTTTGAGTAGATAAAGTAGCACTTTAACCGCAAAGGTAGATAAAGTAACACTTTAATAGCAGGGGTGTTTTAACTTATTTTATTCATTTAAATTTACAAATGGTATCATCCACGAGGTGGAATAAAGCGTCCGATTTACACTCAAACGAATTGAATACAACATTTTATTGTTCGAATTAGACTCAACAAGACGTAAACTTGCTTTAAATCTGTTAAAAATAATCTGATGTTTGCCAAAAATTGTATTTTTTTTTGAAATCTTGTTTTTTTTCTTAAACTTTATGTCCTGCTATAGAAAAAAATGGTGTATTATACACGACGATAAAGATTGTTTATCTAACCGTGAAATAAGTCCACTCGTGACTTCGTCACTCGTGTACTTAACCTTTTCACTGGTAGACAAACAATCTCTTTATCGTCTTGTATAATAAATAACTATTAATTCAAATGGTTATTTCCTGAAAATAATTAATAGTTTCAGTTTGATAACATTTTATTAATCAAAATAATACCTATTCTAACAAATGCCGGATACAGATTAATAAATTACTCGAGTAAAAATTTTAGTCCCAAGTTGGCAATGAAAAATGGACCTTTTTGTTTTTGTTTTGGCAATTTAGCATATTAAGTTGAAAGCAATAATAAAGGTTTATTAAATTGAATATTAAATCACGATTTTCAACCTGATATTGTATATTTTTACGTAAACAAAAAACACTATAAGCCAAGATAATACAAAATCACTATTCTTAAATTGATTTCTTACCAATAAATCTTATTAAAAAACTTGTTTCTTAAGTTAAAAACAGCATTATTAATAAATCACTCGATATACTTTTTAAAGAAAAAAAATCTTAATTTTATTTACATTTATAAACTAGCGCCCATAAACATAACACACAAGAGTACAGGTTATAAATATAATAAAAAACAAAATGGTAATAATGAAAAATTAAAAAATAAAATAAAAACGGGTCTAGAATTCATACTTTTTATTTTGTAATTTTAAATGTGCCCCTTTCCCGTTGTAATTTCAGTACTTTCATTTGTCAAAAATAAAGTTTTCTTCTTTTTAAAAATAAAAAAAATGTTCTTCTTTTTGAACAACATGGACGTATCGGTGAATTTGGGCGTTGGCTTCTCTAACACAGCTTTCGGTTTATTTTTCTCGCGTGGAAAAAGCCATTTTGACAGTTTGGTCGTCTTGAATCCCCTTTGAAACTTATCATTTGTCATACTATAAATAACAGGGTTGAGCGCTGAATTGACAAAAATGAAGAATTTTGACACAAACCAAAGATTATGGTATGTCCCGCTTGCCTGTAAAATCCAGTCAAAAAAAGAAAAATCGATTAGTGTGTTTACCATATTTTGGATTTGAGTATTTTGCGCAAGATTACTCTTTTTAATGTCTCGGTAAAAAATGAGCGCAGTAAAAGGTAATCTGCATATTAGAAATGTTAGGATCACGGAAACCATCATTCGGACGGCTTTTTTCTTATAATTCACTTGGCGATGATCCAAATTCCTTAGAACCACTTTTTCATATTTATTTAACTGAAAACTCGCAATTAGAGGAAAATTTTGCAAAAATGTTGCTACCCACTTTAATAAAAATCGTGATATAACAGATCAGTTGGATGGTAAGTGGGATCCAGACTAGAACTGTTATAATCACATGCCAGTAGATATTCGTTATCATTGTGTTCTCAGTGCAATATTTTTCCAGGAAATCCAGCCATTGACGTTCCTTGTAACTCCGGTAAATGTAAAAAGGGGTCGATAACAGAATTCCAGTGAGCCACGTGGCAGCCATCACGATTTTAGCTCCTCGTTTTGTCAATTTCGATTCTTGGGGTAACACTATTGCTGTTAGTCGGTCATAGCTGATTGCTGTCACACTTATGACACTCGCTAGCAATATTGAACATTCGACAGCTGCTTCAGTTTTGCATCCAAAGCTCCCGAATTGGTAGTTTTGGAAAAAGTCGTAGATTAGGAAGACCCAAGGATGGATCAAAAGTGATAGTAAATCTGCGGCGGCCATATTCCCGATTAGTAGATTGGTGGGGGTGCAAATGTGTCTATTTTTGACCAAGACATAGATTGATAAAAAGTTACCGAAAATCCCGAAAAGGACTATTGGGGCGAAAATCGTTGATTCGGTTGCAATCTGGGCGCTAGAGCGGATGATCCATTTGTCATTGATGAATGTGTGGTTGGATGGATCGAACTAAAATTTGATTATTTTTTTTTAAGTCAAACTTATTGTTACTTACATCGTCTGATGAGGAATAATCTTCGTCGCTGGTGTCATTCTTGACAGTGTGGTTGCCCATCTGATCGTTGGTTTTTGGATGAATAATGCTCGTGTGGTTTGGTATAAGTAAATTAAAATTATCGCTATTTGGGGATTTAGATATTTCAGCATCAATTAATTAAATAGAGACACTTTGTCTAATGGAATTTTATTGGCATAAAAAGGTTTGTTTGAGGAGCACTTGATGAGGCAGCTGATTTAATTGCATTGTTTAACGTGGTGAAAAAGAATGAGGTGTTTGCTACTAAAATATTACACTCTATTGAGATAAAATATTAGTGTTTTGCATTTAGAACAACGTCATTGAAGCACTCGAATTGGTGGTTTAATGCGTAACGCTGTCGAATTGAAATTGATGTTCACGATGTTGCAAAACTAAATTGTTTGTTAATTTTAGTTTGTTATTAAAAAAGTCGCAAGGACACAGTTTCAGAAATTTGTTTACACGGTGACCCAAGGAATAATAAGACTGCTCATTATCATTTTACTGACGTTTAGAAATCTTGGGAGAACAAACAGATAAGAAAAAATTACTGCGAAAATGGCAATAAATACAAATTTTTCGATTATAAAACACATTTTTTAAATAAATGACAAGTGTGTTTTTCATTGTGAAAATTTGCTTGAAAAATGACAACATTGCACCTACATTAATAATAATAAGACTAATAAGTCAAACATACAGGGTGACCCAGGGGTGCGTGAAAGCTCCATAACGTTTTTTCTATCTAAGCTATCGAAGTGATTTTTTTTTAAACGATAGGTCCGACAATGAGGCACATTCCTATTTAGGTAATACAGTTTGTCCCAAAATAAGATACACAACTAAGATCTGTTTTTTTTTAATGAAAACCCCCAATTTTTGTTACATTTTTAGATTCGCTACTAAATTGTCAATACAGGATGCGCCAGAACTTGCGCCCCAGAGGAAAATGCCATATAAGGTAAGATACCAAGAACATGGAAAAATTTTATCTATAAAAATTTCGAAGTTATGAGGGTTTAAAGTTTGCACTTTGACTCTATTTATGTCTGTTGGAAAAATAATTTTCCAAGTTTTTTTGCTATAGGCTATTAAAAGAGGAAACAAGAAAGCTGTATCCTAAATTGTAACTCTGTTCAATGTTATTTGTGGCTTTTATTGACAAAAAAATTGTACCTATATTAAATAATTGTAAAAAAAAATATACAAGATCATAAAAATAGACATAAAAAAATGTCAAATGTCAAAAAATAAATGTCAAATTTTTTTGACAGTTAGAATTTTTTAAACATTTTTTTCATGTTCCTGGTATCTTACCTTACTTAAAAATTTACTCTGGGGCGCGAGTTCTGGCGCACCTGTATAAGCCACTCGATTCCTTAGATCTATCTGCAATAGTTTTTGACTTATGTCAATTTATGCGTCAAAATAGCGTCGTGCATAGACCCACAGAAAAAATATAACTTCAAAACCATTCAGGATGAATAAACCAACTTTTTTACAGTCGATTCCTAAGCTTTAGCGCATTTTCTGAGGTAAAAACAAACTCAGTGTCCACGATTTTTTGAAAAGGACAAATTGCAAATGGCAATTACTCGACTTTCAACACACAACACCTTATATTTTACTGCATTGTTCCATAATATTTTTATAAGCTTTTTGTCAGTATACTAGAGTTTGTGGGATCTACTTTGTAAAATTTGTAAGATTTTTGCAAAATAAAAAACGTTGTTTAAAAAAAAATCTAGTAGGCGGCTGTCGTAAAATTTGACGGAGACTTGATGAAGCAACGTTTGTTAGAGTTCGGAGCTCATTTACTAGAAGACTAGCAGCTTGTGTAGAACATGATGGTGACCTATTTGAGCATTTTCTATAAGTAGCATTTTCTCAAAATTTTTACATTGTTTACTGTCAATCATCCTTTTCTGTTCTTGTAAAAATTACTAAAATTATTTTCTTTGTGATTTACTCCTGTTTCTATTACAACTTCATTTTGTTAAAATATATACTTTTCAGAATTGTATGGATGTCTCAAATTTTACGACATCGGCCTACTTGATTCTTTTTTTTTTCAATAAAACATCAACGTTTCTCAATTTGCAGGAATAACATGCAATGATGCAATAATAAATAGGGTGTTGTATTTGAAAAAGTTGAGTTATTACCATTTGTAATTAAAAAAAAAAAAAATTGAAGTAGGCGTTGGAACATCAATTCCGAGCTCGCTTTATCTCAAAAGATGCGTAAAACTTGAGGAATCGACAGGAAAAAAGTTGGTCACATTATCTCGATCTGTTTTGAAGTTATGAATTTATTTGTGGGTTTATGCACGACACTATTTTGACACGTAAATTGACATAAGCCAAAAACTATTGCAGATAATTCTAAGAAACTGGATGCGTTATATCGGCAATTTAAAAATGTAACAGAAATTGAGAGTTTTGATTTAAAAAAAAACAGAACTTAGTTGTGTATCTTATTTTGGAACATCCTGCATTAAATAAAAATATTTTTTAAATGTGCTTCATCATCGTATCGTTAAAAAAAAATCAAATCGATAGAAAAAAAGAAAAAAAGTTATGGAGCTTGCACGCACCCCTGGGTCACCCTGTATTTTCAGTTGTTTTTCTTCTTTTAGATAAAAATGATCTACTTGAAATACTGAACGCGATTTTGAAACCCGTTTTAATTTTTATTAGAAGGTTTTTGAAAAAAACGAACTGAAAGTTCTGAAAGTAGTCTTTTTTTTTATTGTTTTCGATTGTTTTTATTCGCACTTTTCTGTTTAGAAAAAAATACAAAAGTAAGTGTAACCTGTATACAATATTTGATAATAATACAACAATAACACATACGTAAAAAATAACACTAATTTTAGTCTTTTCTTTTCAAAATTTATTTTCATCTCTTTCTAATAAGAGATTTCCTCAAAAATAGTTTCCGTTACGTTTGATTTTTTTTTATCAGGATAAAACAGAATAACAGCAAAAAAATATATATTGACAAATACCGGATACAGATTACCTAATCAATCACTCTCTTGTAAAAATTTCGGTCTCAAGTTGGAAGTTCTTCAAAATACACATTTTTATTAAAATGCTTTACATTTACGTGGAGAATAATCACACAAAACCTTATTGCATGATTTTAATATTGATTATTTCGTATAATTTGTTGATAAAACACGATTTTCAAGCTGATTTTGTATTGATATCTAACTAAATAAAAATTCTTTGAAAGATAAGATTGTCTATATAAAACAAAAGAACTTTCTCAAAACATTATTTAGGTTTGAGTGTTTTTTCTGAAGTATTTTCAAATAAGTGGATTTGGTTCTTAATTTCCCCTCGAAAAGGTAGGTACCTACTGCTTCTTATTCCACAATCATTGATAAAATTTCTGTTTCTTCTTTCCGACTTCCAACAGCAAAATATTTACACCTATACCTTATTCCTACTTATATGTAAAACGAAAAAGAATCTAAATTATTAAATCCTAAAATGACAAGGATAAATTAAAATAACAAAGTTAATGCACATTTCCCTTCCTAAAATATTTGTTTCCACGTTAGACAGCCTTGAATATCAATCAGATTTTATTTCATTATCACTTTATCACAAAAAAAGTCAACAATGCTTGAAGAGCATCATGCGTTTAATTTTTATTTATTCACAATCACTAATGTAATATGCCGATTACTAACCTTTTTAAGGTTGGGAAACATGTCATTATTTCTCATGAAGAGTAATAAATGTTACTCCTCTTGGGCGGTAATATGCCAACGTTAAAATTACGAAAATACCGGAAATTTTTTCTTTTAAATTGTCAAGTTACGCATAATATTTCGCTAAATTAGTTTTTAATTGCTTTTGTAGCAGTTTCTCTTAATTCTGGGGGAGTACATTGCTCCATTTCGACGACTTTAAATCAGATTTACACATTATTTCAATATTTTCTTTGACATTTCTGAAATGTCAAAAATCTAAAGTCATTTGGATGGCCTACCATGTTTGGACCTTAACTTTGTTAGAATTTTATTTTACTCAAATTTTTGACTGGAAATAATGTGATTGCGAATAAAATAGCATACAAACCTCGGTGGTAATGGCATTACCCCTTGTGCTTTATCCAATCTCGAGGCTGGCGCCTCTCGATCGTATACATGAGCACTCGGGGTAATGCCATATTTACCACCTCGCTTGTAATATACTATTACGCAACAAGGGGTTTACAGTCAAAAACTATTTTATTTTTTTGTAAAGTACAAGTTTTATTAAGTTTCGTTACTATTTTCCTTCCTTATTTATCTAATAGTCTCAAATATTAATAAACTAAAGATATTATTTTTTCAGTATGCTGAAAATATTCGCTTTGGCAATAGTAGCAACGGCTCTTGCAGCCCCCCAGCCCGACTTAAAAGCCGCCGAATCTTGCGACGCCTCCAAATGCAAGCTACCCGACTGCAGATGTGCATCCACGAACCCTCCGGAAGGCCTCGACCTCGACCAAATCCCTCAAGTAATCCCCAATCCACCCCACATTTCTCTAGTTCTTATTTTCGTATTTTTTTCAGTTCGTTTTGCTCACATTTGACGACGCCGTCCAAATTGCAAATTACGACATCTACACCGACCTTTTCTTTAACAAGACCAACCCCGATGGGTGTCCCGTTCAAGCGACATTCTTTTTGTCTCACGAGTACACGGATTACACCAAAGTGCACGACTTGTACGTAAACAAACAGGAAATTGCCCTGCATTCCATCACTCATCAAGCCTTGACCGATTATTGGAAAAATCTCACCCTCGATGGACTCCAAGCCGAGTTTGGGGACGAAAAGACCCTCATTACACACTTTGCGAATATCCCCGAGGATGCCTTTAAAGGGATGAGAATCCCGTTTTTGCAACTGTCAGGTTGGTAGCTCTCTTCAACTTTACTTTTTCTTTATAAACAATCTCTTCGTTTTATCGGTTCTTAGTTTTGTTTTTTATTTTTTTATACAAGGTGAACAGAAAGTTTGGAACCAAACGTTTTTTGCTTAAAGTATTTATTTTTTGAAAAACCCAAATTCCGTGAATTCACAAAAATTCACTGTAGTGTGTGCTTTATTGTCATGATAACTGACATTGAAGTATGTATTGTCAAATTTAATCAAATTCGAACATGCCAACAGTAAGTGCGTTTAATAAAATAAAAATTATCTCCCTAGTACAAGAAGGTATGTCCCAAAGACGTGTCTCTATACTTTGAGGCATACCAAGGACTACCATTTCAAAGGACAAAAGCAAAAAGTAGCAAGGAGCAACGAGCATTCTGTAAAAATTAAATTTTTCAAAATTTTTTTTGTTCTGCAATTTTTTTTTTAAATGGCAACCCAGTATAAAACCTTTTTTTACAAAGATTATGACTAAGAATTACAACTATTTATATTTTACTCAAGTTTTTTCAATTTTTTTTATACAGGGTAATTTTTGAAATACGGCAGGCGCTGTAGAATGTTAATTTATGATCATTATTTGCCGTAGATACCACTCATTCAAAATTAATATTTTCTATTTTCAGCGTTCTGCAGTTCTCACCTTAAATTAAAATATCTTTACAACTGTCCATTTTAGTGGTATAAAAGGTTATGCGTTTTTTATGCAAAATTGATTACAGTATCGATTTAAGCAATAAAAAATTAGCATTAAGAGGCCAAAAAATGGAAAAACACAGAAAATGTGACCTGCAATTGCTGGAACCGGAAATTGAATAGATGTATCCGGTTTTCGTAATTACTAGTTTAACAGGAATGCTCTCGCAAGTTACCATTTTTTCGTGATTACCAGTTCAAAGGGTATGTTGTCACAGAGAAATGTTCCAAATTTTATAATATGTGGTCAAATGGTTCCGAAGTTATTACAAAAAAAAACCGAATTTCCATACCCACATTCTGAGGGTGGTAAAATTCTTATCAGTAGAGATAGGACACGAGTTATTATTAAAAAAAATAACATTATTTTATAACTCATTTTTGAGGTTCAAATATTGCTTCATAGTTATGAATAACCTTATATCATACAGGGTGACCCATAAGTAATAATGAGCCTGAAAAAATTTTTGAAGCAACCAACATTACATTTTAAAGATAACATGGATATTAAAATATTTGGTTTTAATAAATTAAACATAGTGTCCAAACAGCACTGCAACTTTAATTTATAAAAAGTCAAACCTTGGAAAATTTGGTGAGAATTACTAAAATGTTGACGAAAAGACCAACAAGATTCTTTCTCATTTATGGAGAATATTTTAAAAAACGCTTCGCAGACTGCATGTTTTTATACAGCGCGATATCTAAAAATAGACGGGATCCCTAAAACTGGAGTAAAGTCATTTTGACTGAGAAAAATTTGACAAAAATAAAAATACGATTACTATGTTTAATTAATTAAAACGAAATATTTTAATATTCACGTTATCTTTGAAATGCAATGTTGGTTGCTTCAAAAAAAAAATTCAGGCTCATTATTACTCCTGGGACACCCTGTATAAATTGACAATTTTAGAATTTCTCTAAATGTTATAGTCTACTTTGGGCTATATTCAACTTTCTAATTTTAAGTTAGAACCCATATTTTTTTCTTTTTAATTTGAAAGGTATTATTAGTTTTCTTGGTACAGACATGTGCAATATGTTCTACTTTTGGGGAAAATAATTATTGTTTAAAAAAAAAGTAAAAAATAATAAAAGTTAATAAAATCTAGTTGCATGGTGTTGAATAAGGCAATGCCATTATTGTAATGGCAAAAAGCAGCAAATAAAAGAAAATATTGTCAATGATTTTTCAAATTTTTAATAAAAAATTACAATAATAATTACCTATAAGAAATCGGAAAAACATCTAATTTAGTGTAAATAAGTTATTTTATTATTTATTTATTTTGTTTATTTTTAATAAAATTTTTAATGTCAATTTTTTATTGACATCATGTAACTAGATTTTTTAATTTTTATTTTTTTTTTTCAACTTTCATAATTTTTTTAAACAATACTTTTTAGAAAAACTAGAATTTAAAATCAAAAAGTTGAATATACCTAGTTCAAAATATACTGTCATTAAGAAAAATTCTAAACTTGTCAGGTTATACTTCGTTAAAAGCCATTTAATTTAGTTTTTTTAATTTTTGAAATCGGACCATAAACAAAAATTCTACAGCACCTGGCGCTTTTTAAAAATCACCCGGTATATTTTGTCATTTTAAAAAATCGCACAACTCAAAAACAAATCACCCTGTAGGTATATTAATATTTTTAATATTTGATTTATTATTTTTTTATGGCAATTATTTGTTTATTTATTTGTTAATTTTTTATTTTACAGGAGATAACAGCTTCGAATTCGCCAAATCGCTTGGCTTGACCTACGACTGCTCATGGCCCACTCAGACCTTCCGGAAGCCCGGACTTTGGCCATACACCCTAGACTACAGGTCGAACCAGGATTGTCCCATCGGTCCATGCCCAGAAAGCTCGATTCCGGGTGTGTGGGTGGTCCCCATGATCGACTGGACCGACAAGAGCAATAACGTGTGCTCCATGGTCGATGCTTGTGTCGATATGTAATCGCCCTCAAATTAATTAATTTCGTAATTGATGATGAAATTTTAGCCCCGATGACGACGCCGACAAGCTTCTCCAATGGTTCATCGATAATTTCAATGTCCAATACCAAGGCAATAAAGCGCCATTTGGGTTCTACATCCACGCTGCTTACTTCAACGTCAATCCGGTTCGTCTCGAAGCATATAAAAAATTCGTCGATTATCTGCAAACTCTGAAAGATGTTTTCCTCGTGAGTCCTAGTAAGGCCATTGAGTGGATTAAAAACCCAGTTCCTATTGGGTCGGGTGATTGGCCTGCGTGTCCTGATGTTGAGGATTTGGGGTGCACGAAACAGACGTGTGAGTTGATGAAGGAAGATGATCCAAATCCGAGGTATATGACGTTCTGTGGAACGGAATGTCCGGCTGTGTATCCCTGGCTTGGAAATCCATTGGGTGATCAATAAATAAAAAATTTGTTTACATTTATCAAAATAAATTAAATAAAAATGTTACTCCTATGTAATTTTTTGTTGTTTGTTTTTGTAAAATAATTTAGTCGAAAAAAATTTTCCTAATAATAATAAACCATTATTCTTTCACACATTTGCATTTTTTCTCATTGTCTTTTAAATTTTTACCGTTTTTATATATTTTTTCCAACACTAATATCTTATACCCACTCTCACAACAAAAACTGTTTTTTTCTTATTTAAAAAATATACCGGCTGTCCCAGGCAGGATTGGATATAGGGAATTAACATGGGAAATTAGTTTTTATTTTTTACCGGCTGCAGGAGTAACAGAAATTAAAATCTGATTGATGGAACTTATAGTTCTCGAAAAATCTTATCGACATTTTTATCGATTCTCCAATTAACTCTATTTTGGCGAAACCGGACCTAAAAAATTCGAAATTTGAATTTGCCGCGTTAGCGTTACTAAGAAACGAACTATCTCTGCAGCCGGAAAAACATAAAAACTAATTTCCCATGTTAATTTCCTATATCCCAGCCTGCCTGGGACACCCGGTATATTTGTAGCAAATTATTAAATATAATACATTTTTAGCAAAACATTATCTTTGGTTTTTGTTCGCAGTTGGCAATGAAAAAATGTTGCATCTTCAACTAAAAGGATTTAAATTATATTATTAAACCAGTGTCACTAATGTAAGAGTTTTCTAAGCACTAAGTAATGAAAAAAATGCAAAATAAATCGTAAATCAACTTATTGGCGACTAATAACATTTCTTTGTTTTTAAACAAGCTAACAATACCATTGCAACTTCGAGTGATACATAGAGTGGTGTAAAAAAAAGCCGCTTTAATTCATCAATAAAATATATTTTATATGACACAAAAATGACGATATGGCTATTCAAATACCCAAATTCCGTCTATGTGGAACGTTATCCTACCTCCATTAGATCATCAAAAAAATGTTTTTTGTAATTGTGTTGACATTTGTTTTTCCTATTTTTGGATTTTTTAAAAATATGTAACAATTTTGTTTTGATGCGCTCGCATATTTGTTCAATACTTCTAACGTATCGTATTTTTTTGATTTTTATTATTTTATCTATTTTTTCATCTATTTTACTGTTCACAAAACTCTTATTGATTATTATTTACACATTTGGAGTGAAATAGTTTTTCCATGGCCAACTATTATCAAACAAGATATGTATTTCACTTTTTAAGTATAATTATAAAAAATATTCTGTTACAAATGTATATTTTTTAGATCAGAAAAAAATAAGCTTTTCAAAATTGCCATAGCCGCCTATGATTTCCATTAAAAAATATACAAGTTTATGTTATTACGGCTAAACCAATAATTGAAAGAAAATCTTAACTACATTATTAAATTTCTCATAAAAAAGTGGCTGTATAATGTCTTTATTTCAAATCCGTATCTTCTATAATAACGAAGATATGATTTTTTTTAGATTTTGCCAAAATCTAAAAAAGTGCCTGTATGTCTTTATTTCAAATCCGTATCTTCTATAATAAAGAAGATATGATTTTTTTTAGATTTTGCCAAAATGTCAACTTTTGTCTGTAAGTCGAAAACAAAAGACGATAGCGGAATGCGATTTTAACCAATATTATTTTTTCAAAAATTGAGCTCCAGAATGTATCACTCATTTTTGGACCTCTTAGTTTCGGAGATTCCCTATTCGGACATCCAAAATGCAGCACCCTGTACATATTGTTTCTGAATATTGTCTAATCTTCGTCAAAATGAGAAAAACAATTTGTTTTCAGCTTTTTTTACAATACAATATACCTATATAATAATACCTAAATTCAATTTAAAAAGCACTCAATAGATATTTAGTATAAAAACGTGTGAAACTCGTGCATTTGTAACACAATGAGAGTGTTTGTAACACTTGTGTTTTAAGACACTATTTTCCAAACATTTTCAAGAAAAATATTTATTTTAAATATGTATTTATATTATGCTCATCCCGAGTGATGTCTTATCCGTTTTTCCAAAAAATTACGTCCAAGAGTAATTTTTTTTTATGAATTGATTTTTACACATGAAAACATTTTCAAAACGAATATTATATTCAAACATAAAACATTCTCAATCAATATAAATATTATAAGTCATACCACAATCGTATCACTTTTCACCGAGCTTTTCACAATGTTTTTTCTGTATGAAAGAGTTGAGCTTCTTGGCTTAAAAATTTGTCAGTAGGGTTCAGTTATAACACAGATTTTTCTATTACACAGAAATTAAATGTTTTTGGAATTGCCTATGTTGTTGCTGTCATAATTCACATGTTTCTCACGAAACGTGGCAAAACTCGCGGAAAGAGAGCTAAAACGCAATGGTTTCATTTAATTTAATGAAATAAGTAAAAATTCCTTTCGCTATGTATAGATTTTTGTTATCAGCGCCACCAAATTAGCAAAAAATGAAAACAACATTTTAAACCCCAAAAATCATGTAGACCTGTCTCAGATCTTGTCAGACTTTTTTACTTCCACCGTATTATGCACAAAGTAACAAGGAATGCAATAATGGCGCATCAATACAGTTATATTGGTAGGTATCGAAGGGATGTTATCTTGAAAAAAAAGTCGGTTTTTGTATTTGTCTTGTTTGTGCAAGAAGTTTATGTTATATTATCTGTTTTATCGTTAAAAAAAAGCTTATCCCTTATGAGGAATGTTTTACTTAAAAACTGTTCCATAAAAAGTATAAAACTGTCATTAATCCACAAATTTAATCTAATTATTAATAAGGCATAAACTGAGGAAAATAAAAATAGCCTGGTGAATTTGTTAAAATAATGGTATCATAATTTTAACAAATTCACTAATTCTTCCGAATTAGAACTGTTTCACTTTATCAAAATGTGTACGTACAAACACAAGTTTTGCAATGCAGATACAGAAATTTAACTTTTTTAATGAAAATCAACCAAATTAACAAAGTAGACACATTATAACAATTCGTGTCCTTCTTCACATTTTATTTCGAAACAACAGTCTGGAAAGGGCTTCGAGATGTTGCCGTCACGTAGGTAACATGGGGGTTCTACCACAATTGGGGCGCATCCTTGCAAGTTGATATTTCCATTATTTTTGCACACTGCCTCAGCACATACTTCCGCGAGACGTTTCACTTCACCCTCTTTCATTTTCCCCAAACCATATTTTTCCGTATAACAACCGTCCGTGTTATTTTTAGAAGTCGATGTAATGATGCTCATCCATCCCTCCACTTGCAAGGAAACCATCATAACAAAGAATATTGCACAAATTTCTTGGTTCTTCATCTTGAAACTAAACAATAACTGAAAAATTTTGGCGTCAGGAATTTTCTCGCTACTTTTACGCTCAAAAGTGTCCGAAGTCGACTGAAAAAAGAATTCGAGCCTTTGCTCACGCTAATTCACAAAAATTTGTACTGACACCCTTTGTCAAATGAAAGATAATTCAATCTGTTAATGAGAACTTTGTTAACTAAAGTTTTTGAATTATTTGCAAACGATTCTCAGCTGTCACTTCTAAGTCTAGAAAGTCTTTTGATAGGTACTTGACAAAATTATTGAGTTTGACAAATGGTGTCACTCAAATTTTATTTCTTAGAGCCGACTTTATCTAAAAACAAAAACTTTTTTAGTTTTTTTTCACTGCGGACAATTTTTTGCGTTAATATTGTTGACACAAACTTAAATTTATTTAAATTTAAAGGGGCTCATAATAGCCCAGTCAAATTAGACAAATCGGTGGAAAAAAAACTAGAGTTGGATTTTTTTTAAACGCTTTCTTTACACTTGGGTAGACATATACCAAAAGTTCCAGAAGATGGGGGGCGAGCTCGAGGAGGGGAAGGGGGTTAAAGGTGTCTTTTTTTGGTTTTTTGCTTATATCTCTGAAATTATCACTCCTCTAGGTTTTTATCTTCTTATCAAAATTAAAACTTACAAAATTTCCTACAAAAATGGTCCTTTCCTTTTTTGTCGTATGACTAACCGTAAGCGAGTTATAGGACAGAAAAGAAACATCATTTAAAAAAATGTGCTTTATCCGCATTTAAAACAGAATTAGTCTTGTAATTAAAAAAAAAAAAAACTGACAGTAAATTGAATTTACTGGGTCCAATACTTCATTAAAGGAAGGGGGGGTCTATAAATACAAACTTATCGTTTATGTAATTTGTGCAGAATTTTCTGTAGAAGTCTATTTCTGCATCAAAATTTCCTACAAAAATGGTCCTATTCATTTTTGTCGTAGGACTAACCGTAGGGTTCAAAAGTTTGCATTAAAATTGCATTAAAAATCCTTTGAAACAAATTTCATTAGTATATATGGTAAGTATTTATATGTGTAGAACGTCCCTCAACTAAGCTGGTCTGCCTGAAAGGTGACTTTTGTGTAAACATTTAAACGGAAATATAAATAAAAATTTTGGATGAAAGAGAGAATGAATCTGTAAGGGGGTTAAATGGGTTGTAAATGTTTAAACAAAGATATAAACATAAAATTCTTTAGAGGTGTAAAGGGACACTAAAATCAGATTTTTCGAAAATTCGTTTTTAAGGGAATAAAACGGTGTACACATTTAAAGGGATATAAAAACATTAAATTTAGAAAATATGATCCTTAGAGCGCGTAGAAGTGCACTTATCAAATTTTAATGAAATAAAATAACAGTTTAAACGCTTAAAAACAAAATTAGAAACATGAAATTTAGAATTTTGGGAGTGCAGAAGTACACTGAGACGACACTTTATGAAAATCAACATTTAATATTTATCCATAAACATAGCCCATGCGAAGAACGAGACTACTATAACTGAATCCTATACATAACATAGGTAATTATCTAGCTTTATAAAGTACCTAAGCCTATGGAATGGTTTTGTGAAAGGGGCTTTTTCCCATTTTATATCGGAAATACGCGCGGACAAAGTCGCAGGCAAATGCTAGTTCAGCATATAAAGATGACTCGGAAGACTTGATAGACCCTCGTGGCACCTTCTAATAAACTGTTGGATCCAATATATTCAATTTACTGTAAGCTCTATTTAAATCATCGATATTAAATCATCTATTTATTAATTTTGTACTGAACAAGACTGTAATTCGGTTTTCAATGTTTAAGTTGAAGACGAAGATGCAGCATATGAGGACGACTCGGAAGACTTTATAGACTCTCTAATGAAGTGTTGCACCCAATAAATTCAATTTGTTTTTAGTTTTTTCAAATCACAAGATTAATTCTGTTTTAAATGCGAATAAAGCACTTTTTTTTAATGATGTTTTTTGTCAGCCTTATAACTCGCTTACAGTTAGTCCTACAACAAAAATGCAAATGACCATTTTTGTAGGCTTTAATTTTGATAAGCAGGCAAAAACCGTTAGGAGTAATAGTTTCCGAGATGTAAGCAAAATAACAAATAAGACACCTTTAGCCTCCTCCCCCTTCTCGAGCTCGCCCCCCACCTTCGGGGACCCAAGAATAAGGAAAGCGTTAAAAAAAATCCAACTCTCTAAGATTTTTTTCCACTGATCGCCCTATTGTTGTCTAATTTGACTGGGCTATAAAATACAGACAAAACCGTTAAAAATGCTTTATTAAATAAAGTAGCACAATTTTAGTCTTAAAGMGATAATCCGTCCAAAATTTACAAAATAAAATAAATATATACAATATATACACATGATGAATAAAAGTTGATAAAAATCCCGCGAGAACCCACAAATTTAGGCAGATATGAGTGGGTAAGTTATAAATATGTAAAGAAACACTTAAAGTTTGTGGCTTCTTCAAATGAGCACGCACAGTCATATTATTTATTGATTATTTATTGTTGTTCCCCACTTTCAACAATCAACATAATCGACTGTTGCGAATTAGCATCCGTTGTTACACCTCGAACACACTCAACTTGATGCGAAACCCAATCCTTGCGTTGACAGAAAGTGGAACAGTAAGGCGTCCGCCGACAGAGGGAGCATTCGGCGAGAGCCTCTCTGTTGCAATTCGCACACTGGAACAAGAAATAATTAGTTATYGGAGGYGTTGCCAATTTTAGMWTTACCTTCTTTTGGTTGTCGTCCAAGGCAGGTTGTAAGGTGGTGTCAGAGCTGCCATCTGGCTGCAAAGCAGCCACTTGGGCCTCGACTCGCGCCGCCAGCACTGCTGCATCTTTCTCTCTTTGAAACTTCTCCGATTGTCTACTAATCGCGTCGCGTAACTCTTCAACGCCTTTGCGGAAATCGCTCGCCAGTCGCGTTATTTGTGTCGCAATGTCTTCGAGTCTTTTCAAGGAGGCTGTCGGGTCAGTGTTGACCACTGGCTCCATCAACTGGTAGTCGGTGGAGTCGAGGCCTTCGGCTAGGTTCTGCCAGGCTTCCTCTTTTGTTTGCTGATTTCCGTCGCTGTCTTCGCCGCAGCTGCGTTTGTTCGAGTCGTGGTCCTTTCGACGTTTCCTCTTGTAGGGGGTAAACAGTCGGACGGGACCTGTAGCCGACTCATCATCGCAGCAGGCGGCGCAAGTGCAACTTGTCGCATGAGGAAGGATGATACCTGGAAAAAAAATCACATGAGTTGATTAGGCAACCAATAATTCACTAAAATAGAACTGTATTCAAATTTAGTTCAATTACAATTTCAAATACTAAAAATGCTCACAATAGGTAATTAACTTACACAATGGGACACACTCGAATTTTTCTACCATCGCAACTGCATAATACAAAATTTATAAACAACATGACGATGCAATTAAACAAATCGTGTTAGTCATTATGGCTAACGTTAAAACAGTTCAAGAAGTGTTAACGATACCCTTTGCAGAGCTAATATTTTACATATACACACTGTTTATAAATACTCTGTGATCAAATGAACTATGAAATTTTATAATTACTCTTCTTTGTGGGTAATAAAAAGTCTGGATTTTAAGTTTTCTGTCTATTCATAATCTTTTAAAGTGTCCCAAGGTTTTCTTTTTCTTTTGGCTTAATCAAAAACAAAATATCGAGAGATCAAGATAATTTGTAATCGAGTCATCTTTGGATTCAAAAACGTATGTCTGTTTTTGAACTAACTGTACGTGAAACGTCAAATAAAATGATCAAGTCGAAAGGTAAAACGGTAAAACGAGTTGAAATTAGTCGCCGACGTACAATAATAAGAGTAGGACCGTTCTTTTTTTAAGGTAAATCATAATTTAGTTACTAAAAAATCATCTTCTTTTTGGTCATGCCATTTTACCTTTCGGCTCGATATCTTATCTTGATCTCTCGATATTAATTTTCGTTAATTTAATTATTGACGTCTGTAAACTGGGCTTCATTTTTGTCAAAATGATATTTTTTGATAAATTTTACTAAAAATTAGTCCGACATTAACTGGCATCTGGAAAAAAAATAAAAGATATCAATTGAAAAATCAATTGTTTTTTAACAAAAACGTCAGAATAAAATGTAAAATCGCTTTGAATATTAAAATATAGATTTTAAACAATAGAAATGTTAAATCAAATATTGGGAAAAATTGGATAACTTGAAATTATTTTTTCATTGTTTGAAAAATTATTATTTAAAAAACACGTATTTTTATTAAAGTATTCTAGTTTTGATTTATACTCAACAAAAAAAAAAAAACGAAAACAAAATAGTCAAAACATCCTTTATCCGACACTACTGAAATACCGTGCGATCAAATAAAAAATAAATTAGAGTAGGCGTCGATTAAATTCTACAGTTGGCAACACATTGGCTGGGAATCTGGGCTGGAAATTTTTCACGCAAACTGAAAGTGAAAATGACCATCAACCGTTATCCTCTTGTATAGCAATAAAAATTTTCTGCTCTAAAGTGAACATTATTTCACTCAAAAGGAATAAAACGCAAGCTTGTCAAAGTTTCCGCTGACATTTCATGTCAAGAATCAGGATTGCCATCTGAAGGAATTTAATCACCGCCTACTCTAATTTTTTTTTTTTTTGATCGCACGGTATTTCAGCCGGGGGATGAAATTTGGATTCTGCGCAGTTTAATTTTTTATTGGTGTGTGTAAGCAAACAAAATAGACTCTAGTCTGATAAGGAATTGAAGACTGCTACCGTATTCAAGACGGTAGTCTTATTCGTCATCAGTTTCATTTTCTCATTACCAACATAAAAAAATTATTAACTTTTCTCTTGTTTAAAATGTGGCACCTTCCATCGCTCATTGTATACCTTTGTGGAAACTCTTCCAATTTTTCCTCCCTGGAATTCCTATCAATGGCCCATTTTTCGGTATTTAACATTTTGCAATGATGAGTCTGACAGTGACAGTCAATGATAATGGTTGACAGTAATAGAAAATAAGGTTAACCCATGGTTAGAAATCTATGTCACTCAAGTGACAATTTAACTTTGTTTTGTTTACATTTTTTGTATTTTGACCAGGGGTAGCCGACTAGTATAGCCCAGACCGTTTTTGAAATATTTTAGTTCTGGTCCGGCCGTCAGAGGTCGCGATTAGCATTCTCATAATAAGTTTATTTATTTTTTGCGAATGTTACTTTTATTTTAAATTTTCATTCAAAGGTAGACGATAGGTGTAGACACACAACATAAACAACAAATTTAGGTTCCAGCTTTTTTTGTTAGATTTATAATAAAAAAAAGAAATCTAATTTATCGGCGTGAAGTGTGCGGGATTGAAATTTGAAACAAGTTGGTCATGATTTCAAAATTTGAACTGTCAACGCAATCAATGAAAAAACACAAAATTGAGTGTTGTTTGTAAAATAAATTCCTGGAATTTGAGGTAAAATTGATTTTTGTACTAATCTACGATAATAATTGCTAATTGTTTAGAATGAGTTTCCACAAACGAACTTGTTTTGCTGTGGTGGGCTTCCCATTTAAATCTGGGCCTCTCTTTCGGTTTCCGCGTCCGAAAAAAGAGCCACTTTTTGCCAGACTAAATTAAGAGCTCCAGTGTGTTCAAAAGTCTGTTCCCCAACTCATTGCGTTCTGTTAATATTTGTCAAGGTAAGTTCAGTTAAATAATAACATTGCTTTCTAACTTTCTGCTTATTAAAGAAACATACACGTAAGAATGTAACAGTGAGGAGTTCCGGAAACATGTGTCGTCGGTGTCGGTACCAAAAGTGGGATTTTAAAACTTAGGTTTTAATTCTTAATTTTCTCAACCCATAACATTCTTCAGGTCAGATGAAAATTGATTTTTCACCAGAAGTTAGCAATCCCACTATTGATCTGTCTTTTTCCACAACACAAAAAGAAGATGTAGAATTATCGAAAATGTGGTTTTATAGTCCACGAAAAAGAGTGACTCCAGTGGAAGGTATAAATAAATACATACAGGGAACCAAGCGGTTTTTTTTTAATTATTTGTCTTTAGAAAATAATAATTAAATTCATAATTAATGTAAATTAAAATAATATAAAAAATGTGATTGTATTTTAAAAATAAAAWTTTGTCTAAAACATTTTTGATTTAATTTTAATAAAAAATAATAAATTGAAACAAAACATATTTTCAAAATTGCCGCCTTTTCTAGTTCACAGGCCGGACGTATGATGACGCCACAAAGAAACTTTTTAAAACCATTAAGTAGGCGTTCTATTTTGTAGGTGTTCTGTGATTTTGACAATTTAATTTCTATCTTTAAATTATCGTCGCGCCACCAGTAGAGGTAGAGGTTCCAGTAGAGGTACACAGTAAGTTCGTTTTGTCAGTGGATACTTTTCAAATAGGGGTACATAGTCAGTTTTCCTGTTTTCGTAATTTGAGCAATTTCCTAAGACTCCTAATTAATAAAAATTTGCTTTCTACACCAACTTCAAATTGCAAATTTTACTATTGTATTCAGATAACTTTGAAAACTTAAATTCGCTATATTTTCAAAATTTAGTGTCAAGCATTGTTTTCATGAGATAATTAAGACACATTTAAACTGATAGAAATTTTTAAATCATGTTCTTTTCTGGATCAAAAAATAATCTAACAAAATGGCAACAATGGCAATTATTTCGTTTTCAAATTTTTTGACATTAGTCATTCCAAATTTTAAAGCAAAATCAGTGTCATAACATTTCGGCCTGCCTTTTGTTGTGTAAGCTTACTCCTGTTTCCTCTTCAATTGCTACATATCTTAGAAAGCCCCAGTTTTTCCCAATTCTTTCACCCGAAAAAAAATCTCATTTTTTTCCGTTCAATCGGGCAAGGTAGCCACTTCAAATTTACCACTCTTACTCTATGTCAGACACGAAATACTGGCAAAGAGGTTCCTGCAAACCCTCATACATACCTTCATCAATCAACGTTTGTAGACTCCTGCCCCCGAACCTGATGCTTCTCTTCCAGTCCTTGCTCGAGGCCCTGCCGCACAGCGCTTCAAACTCGCTCGGCGTATACCAAGCCGAGCCTAACTTGATACACCGGCCTCTGCCCCCCGACCCGAATCTGTTTTTGTGCAGCTCCGCCGAGGTGTTCTTGCATCTCACCGGAAGTACCGGTAGACT